AATCTATTTCCAGACGGAAAGAGAGGGCCAAAAAGGGAGCGTTTATTTAACTGGTGGTGGGTAGGAGGAAGAAAAGACGGCAGAAGATAAGAGGCAGCGCAGGGTGGAGAAAGAAATCGATCAGCAGCTCAGGAAGAAATGATGACGATGCTGGTGGAAACAGCAAAACAAAACAGCAGCTATTGTAGGTTGACAGGAAGATATGGTTGATGAGCATTAGGGGGGGCTGGGGTAATTTATGTAAAGAGTAGAAGGAGGCAAGGGAGAAGAAAAAAGAAGGAAGAATGGCCTCTTACAGAAAAGAAAGTTAAGAGAGTAAGAGTGAGGTATCTGCAGCAACAGCTCCCTGCCAGGAACATGTGACATGAAAGTGCACAGCACGCAGCAGAACACCTGCACAGCTGCCTCTTGAGGCCCCTTTTAACTGGAATAACTGAGATCCTACACTCATTCATGCACACTAACACACAGCAAACAGAGCCCATAAATACCCTTGTGAGAGTGAAGTGTCCTTGATCTCGTGGTGAAATCCTTGAGCAGAAACAGGCAGTAAAACTGTCTATCAAACTGTTCAGTTAGACCTACAAAGATGAAGATGAACACTGTCCTCGCTGAGCTTCTTCTTTTTACTGCCAGCAAAATGCATACCGTGGATTAAACAAGCATTTTTAAGTTACATGCACTACAAAGCACAACATGTTGATACAGTAGACGATGGGATTCTGTTGGCTGATTGAATCTGAATCCCTGCAGCACTTTCGTGTTCCCATATTTGTTTGAGTCTTTATAAAAAGATATAAAAACAGAGACTGTGACCCCTTGAACAAATGCAAACTTTTCATATTTGACGTTTCACATTTGCAGACCTATAAAGATTTAAATGTGTTTCGACGATTATTGACTTGGACCAAAAAAAAAAAAACGTTTCCTTTCCTTCCTATACCTCCTTTTTATTTCATGATTTGTAATTATTTTCAGTGATTCATGGTTTGGTCCATATTTACAATTATTAAAATGGAAATTTGAAAAGTGAAAAACCATTACCTGGATATGCAGCTCCCCTCAGCCTTACATAAGTTTCAGCTTTGATATAGCTGTTCGGCTGTCAAAAGCATTGCATAAAAATCTTAGACATATTAAGCAGCTAAAGAACCAGGTGTTTCATTCATACGTTTCTAGAGAGTGAAACAGAAGGGATTTGAATCTACATTTGGATATTTCAGCACTGTCCCTTTAAAAATCTACTTAAAACATGATGACGAAAAACGTATTAAAATAACTGACATGCTGCCAAAATTCTGATACTATACAGCTATAATAACACTCACTTCCCTCAAGAAATCCCTGAAAACTCACATCTTCAACACTGCCTACAGCCACTAACTCCCATCCTCCCCAATTACATTACTTATTCGTTGTACTGTCCAGGGCGTTTTTGTTAACACACCATCCACTTGTGCTGGATGGGTGCAGCATTCTTTTGGTCAGGGCTGCTCCTAGCCAAAGTGGGGCCCTCAGCAGGACTCTTTCAACCTGAATGATGATATTTCTCAAACCTTCACCAAAGCTTTCGTTGTCTTATCTCACCCACATGCTGAATTATTCGCTCTAATGCCGATTGCTTTGGATTAATGTGTAAATCAGTCAAATCCTCAATAAATGACTAAAACATGGAATCTTTACACGGCTACTTAAAGCCTCTCAAAATCCAGGTCCTCTACAGTGAAGGAGACCTGCATACTAACTATCAATTTCCTATGTATATTTTAACTTTTATTAGCCAGAGAGTGAACTTAGCAGGCTCATACTTCATCAGCAATGCAAAAGAGTTAATTGCCCTGGGAATCACACAGCGTTACATTAGATTTACACAAACTTAATGAGCACATGACTAAATAGGGAATTAAAGAATCTATACTCAACATGAAGAGGTTTATTATCAGTTGATTTTACATTGCATAAATATGCTTAGAATATATGGAAATCCCATTAGGCCATATATCATAAGCAACTCCTCAACATCCACAGCCTATATTTACACTTCAATGTCTTTGTGTGCATCAGAAGTAGATATGGAAAGAAAACTAAATACATCCAGGGACTTAAACTGGATACATACTCTCAAAATGCACATGGCAGCTACTCATCAGTGATTAGGATATCTACTGGAAGCCAAGAAAAACTGACTGACAGCCTTCTTCCACCTCTATTATTTTTTCCATATTGTACTCTGTACACATTGTTCATTCTTAGAGTTGTACTGATTTTTTTTTTTTTTTTTGGGTAAAAGCCTCTGGTACAGCCTTAAATGTTTTTGGTTCAGCAACTATGCAAAGCAATGCACACAGCAATTATCATATTACATAAGCCCTACAAAATTACACTAATCTTTTTTTTTTACTAGAAATGAGAACATCTACACTGCTGAAGTACTGCAGATTAAGTCACTTTGTAAAGCCAATATACCGGATATTGCTGCCACGAGCAACAAGTGTTTAAGAGTTGCAAAAAGAGAGGATCCTCATTTTTCTGTGCCTTTTGAGAAATTTGACAGCATGATTTCAGTTGGACCATGTTTACGTGTCTCTTAAATGTCCATTTCACGATCAACTTTTTTTTTTAGATAGTGTGATAACATACTATTTAGACTGTTGTCCTTGCATCGTATCGATATTTTTTAGCAAATCCTGTTGCTGTTATTGGGAAAGAGAAAAATAGCAGGAACATCTCCAGTTATATTCCCTTTATGTTGTTTCTTGCTTTACTTCACCCAGCTTCCCCTCTAAACAGAGGTCTAATCAGCCAGAGTGATTGAAAATACGTGTGGGGGTGAGCAGGGCCCTTCATATCAGTGTTATGTGTCTTTTAAACCTTATGAGTCAGAGGTCTGAATCTCATGTTCACCAATCACAAACACTTATTGAGGAACATTATCCCCTCTTGTTTCCAAGGCCATGAAAGTGAACATGTTTTTCTTTTTTTTTTGTTATTTTGTTTGCTGAATCTTTGTTTTGATGATATTAACTTATATCACTCATTTCATGATCCAACACCATTTCTTCGGTTCTTTTTTTTCTTTTGTCCATAAAAACAAAGTAAGTCCTCTTGATGGTGTTACAAATTACAAACACGATAAAAAAAAGCACTTAGGACTATGAAAAATCCAAAATGGAATTGAGGAGTTGACTGTACTGGTCCTTTTACAGTCTCGCACGCACGCACGCACGCACGCACGCACGCACGCACGCACGCACGCACGCACGCGCACACACACACACACACACACACACACACACACACACACACACAGAAAGGCTTAACTGGACTACAGTGTGTTTTAAGATAAGACTACGGTCAGATAGACTGTGATCAGGGCTACGACCTGTGTGATAACAGCGGCTCATTTCCATCGGCTGTCCTTGTAGTGTCTCTCACACACACACACACACACACACACACACACACATTGTGCAGATAGACACACACTGCATATTCACCAGACTGGAGGTCCCACATTCCCAAAGAGGAGATATGACAAGCTTACTAGGAATTCAGTTCACTACTGCTTAGCACATCACATTCAGATAAAGTTCTCTGAGGATAATACAAAAAAATGTATTTTTCTTAATCTCTTCACGATGTCCTCCGCTGTCCCATAATGCCTTGGGGTTATTCGGGCTGCAGACCGACGCGTCTCCATCTTAAGTCTCAATCACCAGCAAGGCTTTAAGTTGGAAATGACTTTCTGATCTCATGGACCCGTTTTTTGATTTTTTTTTTACACTTTCTGTACTTGCTTATGCCAGCAAATTAAACACTTCCTTGTTTCTGACCTGGTACAGTTGAAGAGTAAAGCAGACTTAAACATTTGGCAGAATTTAAAAAGATAATGGTGAATTTTTCTGAAATAGTTGGTGGAAGTTGGTGTCCTGTGACACAAGCATCAAAATGAATCTCTATTTTTTGTATCACTTTTGAATCCTGTTTGTTTATGCAAATGTTAGACCACTACGTCATACTGTGTTGTCCTGAAAATGATCAGAAGCTCAGGCCCTGGACAGCTGGAACAAAGAGAAAGCAAGTTAGGCAGAGATAATGAAAAGTTAGGAGAAAGGTGACACTGGGATGAAAAGATCAGTGTGTGAGTGTTTTCTAATCTCCCAAGCCTCCACACACACACACACACACACACACAAAGCTCGGCGGGCAGCAGGCAGGAGATGGTGCTGATGGAGCTCTGAGTGAGTGGAGCAGGCGGCTTGATGACGACATAAATCAGTCGTGTCCTTGAGCCACACCTTTGTGGGGAGACAACGCCTCGGAAACACTGACCTTGCTTCCCCGTCTCTAAATGTATACTCGCAGTGAACGTAAAGAAGTGTGATAGATGTTCAGACAGAGATTTAAGTGCAGACTGACTCCCCACTTCTATGTAAAACAGGTATGAGTGGTGCAACTTAGGATGGAAAAATGCTTAAATGATCTGTGAAATGTGTAGGCTACTCAGTGAGGGCAATAAATGCCAATGACAAACAGTTAATAAAGGTTTGCTCACTATGAAAGACAGCCAATCATGAGGGACTTTATTTGCCACAGGACTGATGATGTTGAAACTCTAATAGCCTCCTGTACACACAATCAGATAATATAACAATCTGAATCTGCTCACTCTTACTGGCTGCTGCTGGTATTTAGATGGACGCAGTCCGATCTGGAATCGTAAATATCAAACATTTCAGATCAGGGAGGCTCCAACTAGACGAGGAGCAGTAAAATAACTGTAGTGACACTTCACACTGGAGGATTATTTGGACAAATAACCAAAACCAGAAATCCACCATGCCCGCACGATTGTTGGAGGATCGACACCAAAATCGTCTAGTGTGTAGCCAGCTTTACTTGCCCACAACTGCTTATATTTAGAGAACATCCAGGAAGAAGATAACATCCTATTGTAGAAAGTTTCATTTTCTTTTAGTAGGAAACTGTTGAAACAGTGACACAGCTCTACATGAACTTTCTTTTAATCACTCTTTTCTTGCATGACATGTTTTGGAAGCCCACAAAGCAAACCCACAGCCTCAACACTCGAATAAGTTGAACAAGCATAAAAGACAATGAGACGTTAAAACAATTGCTAACACGTGCATCTCCCACGCTGTCTTTTTTTAAACAATAAAAATTAAATAAGTCTGACTCATCTACATCTCACATATCTCACTCTGGGCAATAACTAATCTGAAACCAAAGACATGAATCATATGAATCAAACAAGAGAAAACCTTGATTTTAGAGTGCATATGAAACATGATAAACATACAAATAATGTATATACATTAAAACAGAGTCTTATCAAACCTCTTTTTTAAACAGTTATTAAATTAAAAGGTTAAAGTAAAAATTTGGGTGTTTTACAACAGGCCAGTTCAAAAAAAAAAAAATAACAATTTAATGTTAGTCTTTTGCTTGGCTGCCATTTAAACATGATGAATCACTGACTACCCATCTGCTGCCTCAGTCAGATATGCTGTTATCTCACTGGTGGAAAAAGTCGAAAACCAGTCAGAGATCAGCGGAAGACTGGTTTAATCATCAGGCAGCTGTTTGGATGACTGGGACCAGTTTACCCGGCCAGTTTGCGGATATTGCTGAGGAGTCTCCTGCTGTATTCCCTGTGGTCGATGGGTTGGACTTCCATTGCAGTTACCTTCAATCGGACCTCGTCCTGAGGAGCAAAGAAACATCTGGATTAAGCCAAGTTTCTAATTGTATGTAAGAAGTATAACATCAGATGTCACATGAGAACACAATTACTGGATCCTATAAAGACAGGGGACCAAAGGAAATGCATGATCTTCAATCATATAACAGATTTCCCTAAAGTTGGATCCTCTGCAGTACACTTCAGATTCATGTGGAGATACAGTTCATTGAGGAAGAAGATAGGCCCACTTAAATGCCAAAAAAAAAGGGTTATTATTAATCAAAACGTTTTAACCAGAGGTCTCCTTCAGGTGATCATTTTTGTTAGTCAATAGTTTTTGCGCTGCTCTGCACCTACGTGATGTGCGTATAACTACCTTACTCAGACTATAACTACCTTTTTCTAAGATACAGCTCGTTGTCTTCCTTTAGAAGGAATATGTGAGAAATCTGCCTGGAGTCAGTAAGACACAATCCTAACAGGCTCAGGGCTAATTAGACTCAATGTTACAAGAAAACCCTCCAAATGTAAGGATAGCACAACACACACAGGTGAATGCCATTTGTTTGAGGAAAGGAGTGCAACAAGATATAAGGCCATAGGTGAATGCATGTAAAAGTTAAGGCCAAACAATTTCACAAAATTCACTCTAAAACATGTGTTTTCTTCAGCCACATACGTCTCATTATACAACTGATCACAGATTGAAGCACTTTCTCCTTTAGACATGAAGCCAAAAACTAATTTCCATTATAATCGCAAGCACTATAAGAAGAAAACTAATTAATCAATTAGGAATTCAGTCAGCACACCCGGCATCAAGCGTTTAACAATTCCCCATTATCTCAGTTGTGATTCAACACCTCGATTAGTGTTTTCAATTTGTGCCTACCTGATTACAGCAGGTAAATTAAAGGATTTCAGGGGCACCGAGACAAAGGCTCCACTTGACAAAGACTGACAACGTATATAAAAAATAACAGTCCTACAAAGGACGGGGCTACGGCAAGAAAGAGGGCTTCATTTAATGAGCGTAGAATAATATTCTGAACACATCAGGTGAAAACAATTACTCAGTGACGTAAGAGGAAGCTCTATTCTATTACTGGATGTAGAAGGTGGTGATCACCAATGTAGACACACACGTACACATGGAACCAGCACACACCTGACTTTTCAGAGGTTCTTCGGTGTTGTTAACAATAAATACATACATTACACAAGGATCCCTGCTGAGAATTGTGAATAATGTAATAGACTGATGGGATGGATGTTAATGAGAACTGCATGAACATTTCAAATGTACCTTCAACCTTCAGACTCGAGACATACTGGCTGTACGGCTTTATGGTCAGAAATGTCCAGCGCCACTTTGATCCGGACTGAAATATCTCCAAAACATGAGAGTAAAAACCAGCACCTTACAAACATTTACCCAGCACAGGATAAATGTTGACTGAGGCAGTCAAAAATTCTGGTCATCTACCTCCATGGCAGAAAGATTTTCTTTGATTAATAAATACTTTAAAGAAGTTGAACAGTTTCTGTGTGAAGTATTCAGGGATTGATCTACTGTCAGGTAGCACTGAGCATCTTCTGCATACATTTCAGAGGAGGCTGACAGAATGACTAAGTGGTAATTAGATGTTTTCAACAACCATCCTCAGCAGCAACCGAGAAAAAAAGAATATCAGACCCCTCCAAAATAAAACACATTGAAAGGATTTTTGATGAAGCACTGACATTAATGGTCCCCACAGGATAAATACTTTGGTGATCCCCAACTTTTCACCACAAGCCACCATGCACATCATGCTGGGTGTTGCATGAACAAATATCAGATAGTTTGTCATGAACTTTGGCGCTTTCATGGTCTGCTGAGTAGGAACTGAATTCACACAGCCATCGTCAGCATTTTGTAAAGCAAATGACTTTCCCCATGAGCCTCAGCTGTACTTTGTGTCAATTTGATGTCTAACTGTTGTCACTGTCAACACTGAACATCTACTGCACATACTAGCACTTTCATAATATCCCTCTGCGCTTTGAGATTCCCTGCAGGAAACTTAAAGAAGCTCCTCCTTTGCTCTTTTACATTACATCATGCAAAGGCATAACATTGGTGTCTTGGTGTGTGATTTTACAAACCCATTTCAGCTTTGGGAAAGCATGAGAGGCATGTGTAAACATAGCTTCACATAATACACAGCCTTAGGCCTGCACTCACACAGCGCTGTTCAGCCATGCCAGTTTCAACTGAACACAGTGACGCTGTTTTGCCTCTTTACATGTCTTTTATGCAGCCGAGCAGCAGAACAACCTTGCTACACCATTAAACAATATTAGCAAGGCAGCAATTGACAGCAAGGCTTAACAGAGGCAAAACAACCCCCCTTGAACCGGCAATGTAAAAGGCTACTGTAACATGTATCGGCTTTGTACCTAAGAGCAGGCTCAATAGGACTGTGACCCTAGTCTTATACTACACATATTTTATAGTTACATAAAACTGTATTGAACTCGTTAAACGTGTCAAGAACAGAAGAGAAAATACAGAAACAGCATGGAGACTTATTTCTATAGTAACACTAAAAAGTACCTTCTGGAGTTGACATTCCTGTCTCAAAGAAAACCAAAGACTAAAGAAACTTAAAGTCTGTACGTTCTTAAGACTGCGAAAGGTATTAAAGTTTGAATAGCAGCTTTCGGAGTTATTTTAAGCATTTACCTTCACCTCCTCACAAAAGACCTAAATGTGATATTGACACGGCCTGCTAAGAGTGTGGTTTGTCCATGATTTTTAATGAATGTGTCAAGTGTGTGTGTGTGTGTGTGTGTGTGTGTGTGTGTGTGTGTGTGTGTGTGTGTGTGTGTGTGTGTGTGTGTGTGTGTGTGTGTGTGTGTGTGTGCTTTCAATAGCCTGTCTGTTAATATAAGGCCGGAAAGAACAGGTCCTCTCTGACGTTAATGTATTCATCCAGACAGAATCAATTAATCCACGTCCGATGGATAGAGGTGCACCCCACACAGGCACAATTATACAGTTGATTGCCCTTCTACAGACAGCAGGTATACAAACATACACATTTATCAAATCTGAACATAATTTATTAAAGCATTATATCACAGATATAAGAAAAAACATTACTCCTGTTAGGAGTAAACTCAAAGACTTTTGATGTGCAAATGTTGCATCTAGTCACTGGTTGGAAATCAGACCTTTCAGACTTTCTGAAAGTGCATCAATTATCTGAAATTGTCTTTTAAACAAATGCAAATTTGATGTTTATGAAGAAAAGTGCACTCAGTGAATCCGATCTTGAAGGTCAAATGTGATCTTCACCATCATCTAAATTCTATTAACTCCACCTGTGGCAGAGAGATGAGGGCCTCTACTTCTCTGCAGCTCATTGCACACTCTCCTTTCTCTGAGCAGCTCCACACTGTCAGCACTAACTTCACAAACTATCACTGCTGAAATTGTGATGTATTTGCTGGAAAATCGATGTTTCTTTTAGAAATCTTTTGACTGTAGCTTTCTTTTCCCTCTACTCCTCTTCTCTTAAAACACAAAGCAAACACGGCCTGTAAGCAAGACGATCACTTTGAAGAGTTACCAACTATGGAAACTTTCAAACCTCTGAATCTAGGGTCACACACAGACTTCAGTGTGACTTCCATCATAAAGTGCTGAAACTAATCTTTCATAAACTATACTCAAACAGTTCATTTAAAAAAAAAAAAAAACGGCTGAAAATCAAAAGAAGTAGCACATCCTGCAGAAGAATCTGCAGCTTTGTGATTTAATATTTATAGTTGATGCCAGTATTTGGTAGTTTATCTTCTCTGCACTGAACCAAAATATATTCAATAAAGAGTTTATATGTGAGAAGTTCAAACAACAACTTTGAAATATGATCCCAACCACAGCTGTTCTTTCTCCACTGAGTCCTCGTTATGAAAAATGACAAAGCACACATTTTGTAACTTCATTAATCCTGTTAAGCTCCGACATTTCATTAAATTGTTCTATTTTTGTGAAAACACTGAGGTGGATGTGTGATCTTTGCGTCTTGTGTCACACTCACAAGTCTACAGGAAAGAACTGAGGCTGAGGCAGAAAGACGCACTGAGCAAGCGAATCACACGCTCGCCTCTGTGTTCGTCGCTTTGAATTAAAAGCTTTGAAACAAAAAGTTTGACAAACACCCCGCTGAAAATAAATTCAAGATAACTGATAAGCCCTGGATAGACTCTGAGCATGTTTTTCTACATTGTGGAATACATAAATGATAAACTTTGCATCTTTCCTGCTGGGCTTCCAACAACATGACGGAAATGTGACACTAAATAGATTAGATATGTAAATCAATCTCAAGGTGGCTTTTCTAGAAATATCACCAACAGCTGTTCAGCACTTCATTTATAGTTTCTCTTCACATTAGATGTGTGTTAACATGTGTTGTTTTTTTTCTACTAATGAATGAAACTGGAGTTGATTTTCTATTGAACACATTTCAACTGTTAGATAACTCGAGCACATGACAGATGTCTACAACTCTGGCTGTAGATTTGATATAACTTTATCAATCTGTCTCACTCTCTGCATTAAATTAAGACATGCACCACAAAATACAGGTGTTAATGAAAGCTGCTATAATGACTTGTTATGAAATCCACTCATGAGTTGACCAATTCAAGACCAAGACCAAGGCAAGGCCAGACCGAGACAAGTCCAAGACCAAGACCAAGACCAAGACCAAGACCAAGACCAAGACCATGACCATAAATATCAATGAAAAATAATTATCTTGCGTTAAGGGGGCGTGTCACTCACTTAGAGCGTAACACCGGGAAGGTTATTCGTTCTTTTTGAAAGAGGGTTTTTCCTTCTAATCACAGTAATGACAGTAATGAAAAATAGCCTATCAGTGGTGGTCTTGACCAGTCTTGATTTAAAATCCGGAGTCTGCCCCGTCTCAGACCGAGACCGAGACCGAGACAAGACCAAGTAAAAATGCTTTCGAATCCGAAACTAGACCGAGAAATTAAAAAGTAGTCCCAAGACCGTTCTTGAGACCAAACCGATTTTGTGCACTACAACACTAGCCCAGAGGACAAAGTGTATTCTGTGGTCTACTTCTCCTACAATTCTTTCTTAAAAGAAAACTCAATAGATTGTTGTCATGAAAACACGGGATGAAATCATACATCATCTGCGTGTGTTGGTAAGTAGCACTGATATGCTGACTTCTACTGTAATTAGACAGTTGGGCTCATTATACTTAAAGAACTGAAGACTGCTGCTATACAGACAAAATGCATTAAATGTAAAACTTTTCTGTTGAGGACTTAAACAGATTTTGAGTTTTTGAAAAGCGGCTTCTGAACACTGCTCGGCGTTCCTTGTAGGTTTTCTGGAGGTCAGGATTCAGCCTGTTTAGAGCTCAATCTACAGCTCAATCATTCCACTCAGACTCTCGCTATGTGCCCCAAGTAGCAAATTAGCCTCTGAATAATTACACTAATTAGGCTTAGACAGACAATAGTGAAATGCTAATTAGTGCCTAATTAAGAGCAATGAATTCACAAGCTGTATTTGTTTTCTGTAATCCAATGCACACTGGCTTTAGAACAAGTCCCTCGTCACTGAGATACTAATTGAAATGAGTTTGTTTCCTATGACTGACATTGTGTTGTGATTATTTAGCATTTTGTACATCTTGTTGTGTGGCAATCGGTTGTTGTTGTTGTTTTTACATTTTGAAGTACGTCCTCGTGCACCTTTATGCAAGTCACTATTTGTGAAGCATCCCTCCGCCTCTGCCTGCAACCAGCTCGTCTTAAAGGTTGCTGCTAATCAGAGCGTGGTTTGTGCCAATCAAAATACTAAATCTGTAAACACTGCAGGCTCTGCCATCTCATCTTGTTCAAACCATCAAACTTCATTTGTCGCCGAGTCCACAAAGGAGGTGTTACTTGGATCTGACAAGAACAAAATCCTGTGGGGTTGACAAATATGCAGTGCAACAATTTCAAACCACAATGTAATGACTAAAAGGTGTTCTGTGTTGTATGGTAGACTCTGCTTTTACACACAGCCACAGCTGGTGTCTTTGTACAGTAGTTGGCTCCCGCTTTGCGGATTTGATTGTGAAATTGACACTAAAGGAGACCGTTTACTGTTCTTAAAATGCCACTTGTTTGTAACCTTCGTGAATTTGAAAGCCCATTTTTCCAGGACCATTATAAAAGTCTATGAAATGAAATGCCTGCTGGCGTATTTGTCAAGAGCAGAAATAAGTCAGCCGCAGGTGTCCAGTCATTCTTCCTAGTGTGCTCGCAGCGCCATTATGTAGAAGAGTAAATGCTCTTGAACAATCAGACAGAGACTATGGCTTGTGAATTGAGGATCTGTTTATTTCTCTTGAAGCAGTTCTTTTATAGCATCCGAATCATCCCGTTATTGGCAACTCCTCACACTGGGCAATTACAACATCTGTGCTATATAAAGACCATGTCCTAGAAGTCCGGACAACTGGTCTATTACCAGGAAGGGTGGGTGGGTATGTGTGTACGTGTATCAGATCATGACCTTATGACCTGGCTAAAGTCTGATGGCTGGTTAGGTAACTATTGGTTTGTGCCTGTTGCTGTCCAGATTGTGTGTTTCTGTTATGATTCAACCTTTCAAACTACAACAGTAACAGGTTGGAAGGAGCCAATGATGGGTCGAGGATTCCAGTGAGGCAGAGTACACTTAAAAAAAAAAAAGTCTTACAGCTAGAAGGACAAAGATGAGCGCCATCACGTCATTACATTCTCGTCTATTATTCCTGGAAAACCCAATTGTATTGCATTGTATCACACTCTATTGTGCTCTAGGTTTATAGTCACTTACGTTGTACGTTTCCAGCTTGACTCGGTTTTTGAAGATGTGAGTTGTGAAGTTGGCTTTCTGGAAGACTTCATCAAATGCAGCCTCGTCCTTAAGAACACAAACACACACACAAGATAAGGAAAAAAACACAGTCAGGGCCAGCAGTTTACAGGAAGTAGTCTGTTACGGTTAACCCTCCAAACTCAATCGTAAAGGCAATTTTCTTGTCAGATGTGGACAAGCTGGTTCAAGGAGAGCTGTGTGTGGCTGTTAATTGTTTGTATGTGTGTTTGTGTGTGTGTGAGTCTCTTACTGTGTCTCTGAGCTGTCCCAGCGTTTCTGCGCTGTGACCTAACAAGACCTCAGCTGTCTCCTGGAAGCATGTCACCCACTGGTTATCCCCGAAGTCTGCTAAGTTGGCCTGAGAGTCAGACAGACAGACAAGATGATGAAGGGGCCAGAGAGTATTCATGTGTATATGCGATCACAGAAGTGGCAATATTCCTCAAAGTCAGCAGCGCTGTGTTAATGATGTGCAGTGTGTGGACTTACTGAAAGAAGGAGCCTGTATTTGAAGTTGGGGTACTCTCTGTTACACTTTTCGCAACGGTAAAATCCATTCTGCTGGTCTATGACCTTTTTGTTGCAGTCATCGGACGGACAGGCCTGGTACAGACAATTCTCCTTACGAGTGTACACCACGGTTGCCACACAGCTGAAATAGTCCGCCTGAGGAGAGAGCAAAGGATGGGAGAGGAGGAAATCTATTTATAGGAATGGAGCAGCAAGATCAATAAAAACTACCAATTTAAATCCAACTGATGCAACTTGAGCATCCAAAGCGGTGGTGGTTAATATGCAGGGGCTGCCCCTTTATATTCTCTATTCTGCTGAGGTGAAACCTAACCTTCAAACCAAATTTCAAAACACTAAATAATATCATATTATTAAACATAATTGTTGTACTACATTGCGTATATTATATTCTGTACAAAACTGGTGGTTCCAGTCTTAATGCACAATAATTCAACCCTGAACATTATTTCCAGCATGCTGCATTAAATGTACCACTTTGAAAACTGGAGCTGCATCTGTAAAACCACCCCCACCGGAGCTGGAAGAGAGACGACAATGTAACAGTATGATTCACCAGCTTATTACCATTGGCCCTCAAAAGCATGATTCAAGTCACTGAAAATGTGAGATATTGATAGAAGACAAGACAACAGCCGGAAGGAGGAAGGAAATGATGATAGAGGAAGAGCTAGGGCACCAGTGTGATGGATCATCTCATTCCCCTGTTTAACAGGCAGTTCTCTTCTCTGTGCTTCCTGAATATGTGGTGCATGCTGGTAGTACCAGCATACATTAAAAACATAGCTCTAGCTGTTATGGAGACGGCATTGTTTAATCAAAATTTTAGAGTAGACTCGTCTAGTTACTTTATAGGAATCTTGAGTGAAACAGTCGACAAGATTTTTTCAGTTGCATTTCAAATGAGAAACCAAATTAATTTGAATGAAGAGTTCAAGCTCTTACCACTGCACATAGGCAGAATGTCATGTTATGTTTTTATAATCAAGGCTGGCAGACTACAACACAAAAAATACAGCCAGTGTGTAAGAGACGGACTTTCTATTTCATACACAGACCCTTTACCGTTTAAATTAAAAGAACCAACACTCTGTTTTAATCTATAAACTATTTTACTTTCACATACTAATAAAGATCATCGAGCCTGGAACAAGTCCCGTCTTTGTCTCATTTTGACTTGCATAACAAAAAAAAAAAGACGAAGAGGAAAAAAGAGAGAATTAAAAACGGTGAATCCTCTCTATTCTCGGTGTTGAGAGTATTGCTAGGACTGTCACTAATCTTTTCAAAGGTATGACTCTTATAGAAGGTGTACACAATGTGGACAAGAACCAGAAACTTCAGAGAACTTGTCATGTAGGAGGCTGCGACTTGGTCGATGTACAAGACGCCAGGTGGCTCAGGCAGTAAGAACACGATGAGTAATCTCTAGTCCAAACTAAAGAGTCAAACTGTGTGACAATGGTCGGGCTACGATGACCAATTTCACAACAAGCAATGAGTCAAGCTATTTTTGTTTGGGTACAACAGACGATTACTTCAAAGGGTAGCTCCACGGCCCACCATAATCAAAAACTTGTTTCAAGTGGGCTTAGAAACTTTAGTAAAAAAAACAGTTGATTTTGAGGAAACTTTGTCTGCTCTGATGGATCATAATGTGTTGAGATTTTTATTTCCACAGGTTTGTAAAAGTATTTGGAAATAGAAACTTAGCGGCAGTACACATGGGAACAGGGGTGCACTAGACTGTCACAGCCAGTAGTAAAACTTCAGCACAATGATAATATCCAGCTTCTTTAAGCACTAGTCAAGTGGATTCAAGTCCTTCCTATAAAGGTAAAAAACAGTGTTTGCTGGTCTAGAGGAGGGAACCTGGTTTATTTCTAATACTCTATGAACTTGGACAAAACGTTTTGAACGTTTTTCACAACTGTCGAGCCATGGTCGTTCATTCATGACTAACTTATAGCTTCAGGTGATGGATACGATGATCAAGATAATACTATCATCAGAACAGAAAGTATGCAGGACTTTTTGATGACATGTTTTTAATGAGTCCCATTTAAAATTTCTGGGAGGAAGTAAAATAAACAAATATTTGAGAGAAAAAAATCATTAAACCTTTGGGTGAGAAATCTCTGACAGATGGTCTGTTCTCAACCACATATCTTGGTATGATCTGGCATTTTTCTTGTCTCGTCAATATTGGTATTTTTAAATCCTAACTTTGTAGTAAATGCCATGAAAATAAAGTCGATCAAACTGGAGGGACAAAAAAATAAAAGACAGATAATGGAGCAAAAGTGCTCTTGACAGTGCAGGCAGAAGGACATCTTTCAACATTTTAAAGAATACGAATAAGTAGCTTATGGTGAAAGAGAAACATAAAAATAAAAGGAAAATAAAAGGAAAATACTTCAGATCAGGCTTGGCATCATCAGTAAAAATGGTGCCAACAAGTCAGTCCAGCTGGTAGATGCATGCTGTTTACACATCTCTATTTGACTTCCAAACAATCTTGGAACAGTTTAAAAAGAGAGCAGAGGGAGTTTGAGAATTCTATGCATAATAGATGTGAGATGAGACGAATTTCTCTCTCCCCTGCTAATACATAAATTGTGCTCATATTCGCACACACCACACATGCCACACACACAAGGTTATATGCAAAGACCCAAACTTAAACATTTGCAATACAGATACAATGAGCCTGGTTTGAGTTCAGAATTTAAATTAGCGTGTACGCAGTCAATCAGAATGATATTAAAATGCAGCAATGCTGCCATAATTTAAACAGATATTAGCACCTTAAGCATCAGAACTCACACTGCTAAAATCAAGAGCTAAGAAGGAAAGAAATGCTAATTCCGATGGAAAATGGCTACTCTCTCATCTTGTGGAGGGGCACAGCATTCCATTTCCATAAATATAAACATAAAGAATGCACACAGCAGATGAACCGGGTCTCACTGGAGGGGAGCATGCACGTGTACACGCCTGCATGCACACATACACTGTAGCAAATTAACTGACACATGTGCAAGCACAAAAGAATAAATGTGCTACACATGCTCAAATAAGAAACCCCAGAAAAACCCTTTTTCCTTTCCTAGCATCACCAAGAGAGTATTTCTGCACCAGGAGAACCGGCCTTAGACAAGATGTTGGAATTACAGCCAGAATTTCAAATGAAATGCTTTAAAATGCATACTAAAACAACAACTACAAGCTAGAGCTGGGCCAGACTCATTACTAATGTTGGCCTAAATGAGTCTATCAAAGAGCCTCTCTAGGACGCTGGCCAAAATTCACAAACACACTGCGCATTTGCTGTTCCTTGGTTTTGCAGCCCACACTTCATGTTCAGAGTTCAGTAAGGGTGGTAGATGTGAAAAGGCCATTGTGTTCTCTGCGTCCCTTGTGAGATGGATGATGCTCTTCTTTGTCCCCATGACCTCCACAGATACTGTCAGTCAGACTTAGAGCTCTGACACTTTCTTCCCGCTAGCTAACAATGACTCACAGCCTCATAATCTGTCCACCCATCCATCTACCCAGTGCCCATGCCACACAGCAAGAACCCCCCCTTCGAAACACTTACTAAGGAGCTTTTTTTAATTAGGAGAACTTTTCCCGTTAGCAACAGCCCTCTACCCCGTCAGCGTTGCACTCCCATGTTTCCGCCCGCCTGCCTGCCTCATCATATTTCACAAACTTGGGTAGATTGGAGCGCTGCAAGCCTGGAGAGGTGGGAAGGCGACGGGTAGGGAAGGTGGTAAGGAGGGAGGGTGCATGTGGTGGGGATTGTCAAGGGCTCATGATGTTGGCAGAGGCTACACAGAATGTGAAGACAGAGGTCAGTGGGATCTGGACCACAGCAATTCAATCGCAACTAGACCACTCGAAATAAATCCCCCTGCATTTGCCATCATCTCTCCCCTTCTCCCTGCTCCTTCTGTGGTGTTTTCTCTCCCCCTCTGTATTCCAGTGTGTACACAGAAGCCTTGGGGCAAAGTCTTAACCTTAAGCACACTGAGGAGAACCTGGAGGAGCAGCATGACTAATGCTGCACACAAAAACAGATACACAAAAACGCTCAGAGACACACTTACGCACAACTACGTGCCCAGACTTACCTAAAGAGTCATACACACACACCTCAGATATTCTGAAAATATTTTTTTTATTCTTATCACACCAAATCCCTGTGTCACCTCTGGCACCTAAACGCAATTAAAATTTGTATGTGGAAGGGCAACCAAGTGAAAATCTACTTCACATAATTGACGTGGCTGCACATGCCAACCCTAATGCTTGTCCCAAAACCCCAAAATACACACACATTGGCGTTTTAATTAGAAATGGCTTGTACACCTTCACACACACAAGAAGAGTCACAGTCACGTACAAACATGGAGGGAAACAGGTAGAATGTCAAATTAGGTTCCTTCAAAATATAAGCTAATGAGTTGGATTCCATAAATAGAGGCAAAGCTGCAGCCTCAGAGTATGTGATAGACGGCCTCCTCAAAGCTGTTCAATTACAGAAACGGTTGGGGGGTACACAGGCACAGAGAGAGAAAAGAGGAGAACACAAAGAGAATAAGAAGAAGGGGAGGAGAAAAAAAAATCATAGCCTGAATCATTTACACATTCTCACCTTTCAGCCTACTTTTCACACACCTGCCAGCTGATCTGAACCGTGTGCTTTTTTTTTTTTCCCCCAATCCCCAACTTCCTTTTTCTGTGGATCTTTTTCACTTCTTTTCTTTTAGTTTGACCTTTTACCCCTTCCATCTCGTAATGTAGGTTTGTAAGTGACAAAGTTCTCAGCCTGCCTTTTCTACCAGTATTCTAAACAAGGAGCGTTCTTGAGCCGAGTGCTCGACCCTGTAGGCGTCCTCCACCTCATACACATAATTAGAAGTTTTTTTTATTAGAAACAAAACTGATCTTGAAGCTTCTTGTTAGTGGCTTCTAATTAAACGTGAGGGCCGAGGGAGACTAGCTGGAAGTGTACCAAATTAATTAGACAGAAAGTTTAGAAGTGGTGTACCACTCACATGCAGTTTACTTTTACTGCAGCGTAAAGATAATACTCGCTGATAACACGTCGTTAAATAGGACAAGGATCAATTTCAGAGTTCTCACGTGTTCCTGAAAAAAAAAATCTATGGCAGTTTAAATTTGTACAGCTAATATGTGAGCCTCTCTATCAGCCTCCCACAGCTAAAACAAGAGAAAGAGGACTCTAATCCATGAAGTCATAGTGAGGCACAGCCTGGAGCTGCTCTGTTTGAAATGAGCAGGAGACTGACTGGATTTGTGTTCAGCTAAAACACTTACATTCAAATGAGACAGTGTTTAAAAAAAGGCTGAATCCATTTCTGCTCACAGAAAAAGCTTCCCAGATGGCTTTAAAGAAGACACATGAAGTGTTGTCTCTGTTTGACTGAAATAAAAACATTGATCATAGCTGATAAGACTTTGCATTGTTTATGGTATTAAGGTTTGATTTTGTAGAATGAATCATGTAAATCTCCTTTTTGATTTTCTAAAGTGTTCTTATTGCTTGTTAACAAAGAAACACCACCGATGGTTATAAAGGAAGGGTTGGTAAATAAGTGATCGTTACAGGTAGGAAAGTAAGGAAAGGGGGGGAGGGAGAGTCAAGAAAACACGAGAGACACATTTCTGCTGTAAAAGCCTGTCACCATGATGGATCTGTTCCTGCTTGGCGTCTAAACTTTGTGTAAAAGACCGTGAAGCTCAGGGACACACGCCCAAACCTGGTGTTTACTGTGTTTGTCTAAGAACACTGAAGGATTTTCTCAAACTCTGCCATAATCTGTACTCTTCTTCCGAGTGAAGATGGTTTTCCTGACTGACACTTTAATCTGCTTGCAGCCAAAGTTTTCATCAAGAACCAGCTACAGGATCCAATCAAGGATATCAAGGTTTACCTTTGCAGCAAAACACCCCCGGGCTACATTTCCAACTGTTCTACAATACAGGCTCTACCTTTCTATACAAAATAATGAATAATTAATCAGATGCATGCATTGTCTTCTCAAAAGCTAAGAGTAATTTAAGTTGTTAAAAATACTAAAACTCCATGTCATCCGACTGAAGCGGCTGATAAATGAAGATTAATGAATGGGAAATTAGCCATTTGTTGTTCCGTCCTAACTTCAGAAGATAACCAGTGGCGAGTTGTTGTCATGTCTCTTTGCATTAACTTTCTTACAAGCGTCTCACCTCTGTGAGCACATAGGATAGCTAGCGAATTAGCTTATGAGTTTATGTTACGAGCATTCAGGTTTTAAGGAAAGATATCAAACATCAGCAGCCGTCCCCAAAAAAGTGGACTGCAGTGTTTAGATCCAGTCAACCACAGATATTTGTGTCCCGTTAGTGAATATGTTGGTAGAAGAGAGCTGGTGAGGTGATCATGGATTAATGTAAGCCTGCTAGCGTAAGCTGCGGTTTGCTCACATGCTACGTAAGTCCATTTATGTTTTTTCTTCCGCAATGAAAAGTGGGAACTCACTGCAGAATCAAAGAACTTAAAAGGCAACCGTTGCACCCAGTGTCTTTTTCAGTGTTTGTTTAATGTTTGTTTAGCTGCTCTGGGCGCGACTACTCAGCAGCTCACTCGGTACTGTTCAGCAAGGTGCTGATGGCGCTGTTGTGGTCGCCCAGGTAACAGAGAAAAAAAGACAGCTTGTCAGATGATCATCACAGAAAATATGAGTTTGTGGGAACAGATCGCCTTCATGTAGCAGGTGAATGTTTGATAGATAGAAAATCAATAGATTTCTATTTGACCTTCAATTTGTATAGTTGTGTGTTTTATGTATCTTTGGAACGCTGTATCTCCTGTCTGCACAATAAATGTACCTTTTTAGGTAACAATAAAGAAACCTTCAACTTTGAAATAAAGACTGACTACCATTTGATGTGTATTGTTTTTAGAAATGCAACTCATGACATTTATTTTTTCTCCTATTGTTTGAGGGAGCTTCTGTTTTTGATTAAAAAGGAAAGAAAGGGAACAATTTGTATGAATCGCAATGCTTGTTGTTGTGTAATAATACATTTATCTTGGGAGTCAAAGCGAGGCAGAAGCAAGTTGTCCCAGCTGTACAGTAAGAGCAACATCATTCAAAGCTTATATGAATACAAAATTATTTAAATCAGTGGTTCTCAAACTTTTTAGACTGTGTACCACCTCCGAAAATATTTGGCTCTCCAAGTATCACCATTATGGTAGACGTTAAAATACACTGTGGACCTATTTCTACACACATTTTAAGCAGGAGGCAAATTAATTCCTATAAAGAATATTATTTATTATTGACTGTTGGCAGCCACACTATAGGACTACTCAGGGCTAGCGCTAGAACTGGCACTTAAACTCCACACAACACTGACATTTGCCCAAATCAAAAAAAGTGCAGCACAATAAAAATGACAACTTTATACCAACAACCTGTTTGAGAATATTTAGTCTCCAGTGTTTCCTACGCAAAGAAGATACCTGGGCCCAAGTATATTTCCGGCCTGTTCTTATTACATTTTTCATTTATTCATAAAATTCCTGCATGCGTGCGCGAGAGAGAGAGACAGAGAGAGCGGGGGAGAGAGAGAGAGAGCATGTGAGAGAGTGAGCGCATGAGAGAGTGCAGGCTTCGTGCAACCAGAGCCTCTGTATTATAAGGCTCTGCGTTCAACATAGCATAACTCCCTTTAAAAAAAAATCCTTCTCGACTCCTGCGCATAGTTAAGACACAGCAAAAGAGAGCAGAATCACATCAGCTTCAGAGCAAGAGAGAGAGACAGAGGGTTGAGCGACTGTCCGTACACTCTTGTAAATGCATCACAACGGAAGCATCTCCTGGCTCCGTTTTAAAAATGTTAATGTCCAGCTGCTTGCCACCAATTCTGTGCTGGACTCCAATAAATAACAGAATATCTTTTAATGTAGGCCTACAGCTGCTTTCTGTTGATTCAGTACTGAATTCCTCTAAATAACTGAATATTGAGTGGAACTTTTCAAAACGCGAGGCGTACTCCACGGTGTTTTTGTCTGTGCGCGCACGCGAGCATAAATTGAGAAGATTAACGTTGTTTGTTGCAAAAACTAGATTAATTTATAGGGGAAAACACATTTGAAATACAACCCAATAGATACAAGACAGATAAGATAAGAGTATGGCAACAAAAAAGCATACATACCATAGTTTGATAACTACTGATTTAAATAATGTAATAAATGAAAAGTCATCTGTTTAACGGGTATTTGTCATAGTTTAAATCTAGTAGTTTAAATAGTTTAAATCTGCAGCTTTTTACAAGCAACGACTACAAAAAAATATATATATATCTTTTTATCACATATTGAAAATATCTTTGGGTTTCAGACAGTGGGGAGGAAAACAGATGCGTGTTAATAAAATGTTGAGCTTAGGGAATTTCTTACCAGCATTATTGTCCTACTTTATTTCTGACATTTTAGAGAATGATTAATTGCTTACCAAAGAAAAAAAAAAAGATTGTTATCAATAAAAGGGAGAACTCATTAGTAGCAGCCCAACTTCCCTGTGAGGCCGGTTATCCTTGAGAACATAGTTTCTGATTTCAAAAGAGGAGCAGAATATCAAAAGACAACACCAACTTTTAATACTAGACTAAAAAACTTTAAAATGTTCTCACTTAAGTGTAAAAGCCCTTTACCAGGGAAGTCATTTAGGTTTATTCTTCTCAATGTTAAAATGTTCTGCTTCTGGTTTTCATTGTCAATTCTGTCTCCGTCATTTAAGTGTCAGTGCTGATAATACTCTCTAAGAGATAGATGTTTTCTGCATGGCTGTGTGAGGCCTTATGCATGTGTAAACAGAGTATACTGTATGTACTGCACCTTCTCTCCATGTCCCATGTGTTCCTCTTTAACATCGCTCAGTGATTTCCAGTTTGTTTTTGCTCCGCTGCCCGATGACCTCATCTCTGTCAGGGATTGGCTGTTGAGCTTACAGCCTACTTGGTCAAACCTATAGAAACACAGCACATATGTTGGATCAAAGGATGTGGAAAAATGCTGAACACCACAACAAGAGCACATACATGTGAAAAATGCCTTGCATCATTTAAAGAGAAGACTGAAAGGAGGGTGTGTTGAGTTAAATAAAAAGACAAACAGAGCGTGCCTAAGAGCGCGGCTAATGATCCGTGTCTAATGATGAAACTACACAAGATACAACATTAATACAATTCATCTGTTGACATTTTCAGGGATGTACCTATCTCGAAGCATGTGTGTGTTTACAAGGAAAGGACTAGGAAAGTATTTTCTATTCACTTTTTATCTGCAATGAAGAAGATTCTGTGCCTTCTGAACACTGTACCGGCTGCTATTATCTAAAGAAACCTTCTTCAGCCATGACTAAATTACTCCCTTAATCCCTTAACTGATTTAAATCCACTGCATCTGTCTGTATACTGCTAACTTTTCTCACCAACATATGGCTGTCTATCAAACAAATACCTTCGCATATCAATCAGCTTTAAGATCTATTTTTTACATTTCTGTCCACACACACGTTTTATTCACGGGGGGGGAAAGAAAAACAAAACGTCTTTGTTCTTTTCTACCCACTCAATCTTTTCATTTATCTACCTTTTTAATATTCTCTTTAAAAGTTTTAACACATTGCTGTGACTCCTGCTCTGTATTCAAGCCGAGCCGAGGAATCTAATCAAGGCATCATCCAAATTCATCGGTTTCCTTCAATTATGCGAGCAAGCCTGGTCCAAACAATCCCACAACGCAGCACGTCGCCACAGGAGCTCGAGTCAAAGAGGCGCTCTTTGTCTATGTAGAATGCTGACCGAAACTTTAAGGAGTCAAAACAGTGTGTCTGCTTTCTGAATAACATTTAATGTGATTTTCTCGCTCTTGTCAGCATGTACACCAGAGAGAGGACCAAACAGCAGCTCAGATCAGAGACAATGTTTTTTTTTTTTTTTTTTAGTTATTTGGCTCTTTGACTGTCAGGATGAGACGGTGTATTGACCAGAGACTAATAAGACCAAGATTAAAGCTGGAGCAATGGAGCCGCGTCCTCCTCTCTCTCTCTCGCTCCCTTTTAACACACAAACACAAGTAACTGCTCTACTAATGCAACACACACAAATGGGGCAAACAAAAAAACTACAGCTCATTGAAGAGTAAGACAAATTCATGAACCAAACATTAAAGTTTGAAAGATATAACTCAATAATGCCCACAGGTACTTCAAAACACAAGCTGTGAGCGCCCTGCAACTTTCAGCCCAAGAATAGCTTTCAATTGAACACACAGGCAATCATATGCACACTCAGGCTTTGTTATGTACACACACACACACACACACACACACACACACACACAGAAAAACTGCATTTATATTTTAGCGGTGAAACTACTTGGGGAACAGCCTTAATGAGTGAATGAGTCATAACTTAAAATCCCTCCACAGGAGCTGCTAATAAGAATCCAGTTTGATGCAGCTCAGTGTCCCCTCGTTTTCAGCTCATATAAAGAGGAAGTTCAGAGAAGGAATCCAGATTTATCCATGTTCTGCTTTCCGTTTTTTTTTCTCCCTCAAGCTGGTCTTGTCTACACCTTCTCCCACTGGGACCGAGGAAGCACATGTAACCAGTCTCCTGACACGTGATCATCAGCACTTTGCACCATGTGCCTTTGGTGTGTATATGCATGCATTACCATATCATGTGTTTAGATTTTGTTGTATGTCTGTTAATGTATATGGACAGTTCAGCAGTAAGACGATTCATTCCACATGTGTAGTGTGAAGACATTGAAGACATTAAATATCGATGTGCACACTTAACTCTGTAAAAAAATGAGTGTGCGCATGCAGAACACTGACTCACCAGCCCCTCAGTCTAAAGGCCTCGGGTATGTCCGGGTTTACCAAGACTGTTGAACTGAACAAAGCGGAGAGAGATCTCCCTCCAAAATCAGACACGCGAGCTGCTTTGATTGCAACCACTGGCTGCCCTGAGCCGTCAAACTTCTCAGCCTGAAGGGAGAGAGAAAAAAAAAAAAAAAAAAAACGATGTTGAAGACAGCAACAGAGACAAGAAAATGAAGAAAAAAGAGACTACAAACGCAGTGGTATTACTGTTCCAGATATGTTCAGTCTGTTTCTGCAGCTTGGATAGAGCAGAAAGTGATACAGGGTATGGTTTTCTTTTATAATTGGACAACCTACGAGTTAATTTGAAAGTCATTTTTGGATTTTGGCAAAAAGGAGGGATTAGCTCTTACAGATTGAATGAGCTTAGAGAAGAATAGTGCCATTTCATGCACATTCGAGAGTTATTTAGCCGGCCGTCTCAAATCAAGGACTCCGGTCCAAAACACTCCTGAAGGTCACTGGAATGACTCGACCCATCCAAATGTTACAGCCCTGAAATCCCCCACCCCCCTAAAAACAGCTCTATGCAGCAGCACACAGAGACACATGGGCACATGCACGGCTGGGCATCTTCATGAACACACGATTAATTATAGCCTGCTCTGCATGAGTTTTTTGTTAAAATCCCCGAATCCATTCCTGGATAGAGAGAGAAAAAAAATAGAGTGAGAGAGATTATAGTTATTACCTCCTCTCCCCACAATGTGGCCGTCACCACTTTGCCAGTTGTGTCTATTAAGCTGAGGGCCCTCTTGGAGACTTCTCTGCTGCTCTTAGTGGTGATCCGGGACACGTCCTCTGCACTCTTACACACTCCAATCACATCTGCAGGCAGAGAGAGTCATTTTAAATCCCTGATCTATAGATAGCTTATGAGCACGACAGAGGTAGCAAACTTAGAGGTAAAAAAAAAAAAAAAAAGCATATGATGAGAAAGTTTCAAACGTCTTGATATGATGTGAAGTATAAAATGCATCCTCTACATAATAGGAGGTAGTATCACGTTTTAAACTGTTAAAACATGCAACCCAGCAGAGACATGACATCACTCTAATTATACTGAGTCATAACAGACAGACATTCAGTCACACGGTGGATAACAATAAGGCCCATCCTCCAAATCACAACAAACACAGTCCCTCCTCATTCAAGTTTTCTGCCATGCTCAGGGCCTGAAAACTTCATTCAGGAGTGCTGCCCAGTAAAGGTGAAGAGCCTGGCATACGCTGACGAACATTCAAATCAAAGGCAGAAGAAGGAAAATTTATTTTAGGAGTGCTTATCGTACAACAAACTGGATTGTCACAAGGACACTGATAATGAAACGAATAAAACAAAAAGGCAGTATAAATACGTCCCGGTGATAAGTGTAAGTGTTTGTTCAGTTTAATTTCAATGACTCATTCTTCTACTTATGAAAGAATAAAAAAAGATTTTTCTTGAAAATAAATAAACTGTTTTCTTTCAATGTTACCACCCAAACACATTTAGTGCAAACATACCACTGTGTTTAATACAGCCCCTTTATCATACAAGGAGCACGTTTGATATACAGTAAATGGTGAATTGTTTACAATCATGTTTTCAAGGTTGCAAGCTGCTGTCTTGTCTTTGTTAGCCTGCTGCTGTGCTAGCATGAAAAGGTAGCGGATGTCTGCTGCACCTTATTGTGTCTGTAAGAGACTCTATGGTGAAAATATTGTTCGACTGTAAATTTTTGCCTAAGACTATTTTCCTGTTTCCAACGGCTTATGCTGGAATTTAGACCATTACTTCCTTTTTTACAAAAAAATGTATGTGGTCCAAACTGCCGGCACCTGCCAGAAGACGAATGTTAACCTCCAGAAAGGGAAATATTTGAGCCTTCACTGCTGGACCTGCTGGGTCACAATCCAATAAACACGAGAAGAAATGATGACCCTCCGCATTTAAACATTACACTTTGATTTTCTTTACTTTTATCACTTTAGCAAAAATAATTGCTCTGTTTGGTCTTCATGAGCCATCTATGTAAATCTGTGGCACCATGCTCAGGTTCAGTCATGTTCACAGTAACCATTGTGTTTATATTGACTCACATCAAAGACAAAAGGGGTCTGTTCAACAGTCCTGTGGGACCGAAATCCTTCTAAAACTTTTTAGTCAAAAACATGACATCATCTCAGTTCTGTTGTTCGACTTTCTGTCCTTCATTTTATGATGTTAGAAGTAGTGCTAATATTCTGTCCTAATATTGGACCAACGCATAAAATTATTGGTCAGAATTGCAATGAAGATTTTGTCAAACAGTCAGTTTCTGAACTGTCTGCTACCTCTGCTAACCTTTTTTCCTTAGCTCCCCCCCCCCCCCCTCTCTTGCGCCTCTCTCTCTGTCTGTGCTCTCTCTCTCTCTCTCTCAGCCCTCCTTAATTCCATTATGATTGAGACGATGTCATCCACCTCTGAACTCCATTATCACCACTGGAACAGGCTGACAGTTCTCATTACCATGTTATAATCCCCTATTTAACAAAGGGGCAGAGAGAGAAGCAGCGCAGAGGGAGAGAGCGGAGAGACAACAGATGACACACACATCATGTAACACTGCCCTCTGCCACAGACACAAACACACTCCTGCAGGTAATCTGTGTGGTGTGTTCATACATGATACTAGCTTTATCATGCATTATTACTACAGAGCTCTGAACGTAACCCTACATGAATGTTCCACTCTGCAGGTTGTAGTATGATGTTTATACTTATTTATGAGCAGTCATTTGTTCTCTAACACTGTGTGTCCGACACTTAAATGAAGTGAGAGCGCTGCTTGTGCTTCTACTCTGCCAACCCAAAGCAATGCAAGCTCGCATTACAGACCAATTCAAAATCACATCTGAAGTATAAGTGGATATACAGACACCGTGCAACTGGATATAAGTGAGAAAGGCAACAGATTTCATAAGGTCAGTGCATTATTTTTTTATTCTAAGAAAGATTCAGTGTGAAATTGCTCTTTCATTTTCAGCTGTAGCTCTACTGCAATCTACAATTAACATCCCCTTCTTTTATAAAGACTGACATGAGACCTCAAAGAATCAAAAACTGTCATCTCATCAGGAAGTCTGATAAGACTTATTTTTAAATGATTGCTGATTCTGTTATCAGATACTCACCGATTTAAATCTGTGTACATTTTAAATATCGTAAGTTGAAGTTTGTATGCCTTCTTGAATTTGGACTACTTGGACTATTTGGACAACTTAATACAAAGGAAGAGTGAGAAATAAAGAAATTTATACTTTTGCATTGGCAATTAAAGCCGTTTTCGTTTACCATGGCTCAACTACTGAAACAACACTGTTATCCCACAAATAATATCGAGCAGTTGGACGAAAAGCATGATGTTGAATCAGTAATTTTAACCCCAATCTACACTTGGACCATCCCAATTTACCTTACGCAGAGATAAGACTAGCTGTCTGGCACAGAGGGCACGCACGGCAACTAACTTTTAATAAAACAGTAGAATGAGCATTATCCTTTGTTTTATCTTTACACGTCACTGTGTGCTTGTATTAACCTTCACTCTGACCCTGTCATAATATTTCCTTCAAGGACACCTCAAACATGACTGACATACATGTGAATACGTCTATAAGTGCTGTTTCTTCCCTATCTTAATCTGGAACATATAATTGAATGAGCTTTTAGAGATAATGAAGCTGATAACTCAAATATTCTTTTACTGTCAGCATCTCTTACACTATCCTGAACATGCCAGCCCACTTGTTGGTTAGCTAATGGAGAGTTTGGTGATGAACAAGTCATTTAAAGATCAGTGTTTCCCACACAAAGACGAAAGCGCCTGCACACTATCTCCCCCCCCCCCCCCCCCGCTCGTTCTCTCTCTCTCTCTCTCTCTGAAGCTTCTCATGAAAAATGTTAATGTACAGCTGCTTGCTGCTGATGCTGTGCTGGACTCCTATAAATAACGGAATATCGAGTGGAACTTTTTTATGTATATCAATCTTCTCATGTAACTCTTGAAACTTTGTGAAATATGCTTAAGTTTCTTTTTACCATATTTTTCCATCAACAACCAACTAGAGGACATAGCTTTTACATTCCCCGTGACTCAAGAATGTTTTTCTCTCCTTGGAGGTATACATATCCTGAGGTTTTAACAAAACAAGTGCAATAACTTTCTCAAAAAAAACGTTTCATATGCAGAAGGGAATAAATGCCTATTCCAGCTAAAAACAGAGGACACAGCCGACCTAATGCTGTACCTTTTAATGGGGCGTTCACGTTGAGTAGATGCTCTACATCAGATCAGTGTGAGATCAACGTAGTCGTTGTGTCTGTGCGCATGCGTGGATAAATTGAGCGGATTAAAGTTGTCTGTTGCTAAAACAAAATTAATTTAGAGGGCAAAACACATTTGATATAAATCCAAACCTTATATTAAAATGAACCTAAGATAAGAGTAAGAAAAAGAGTGTGTCGACCCCCCTCTGACCGTATTCCACCACCCAGGTATCTCGTCGTTCTGTGGGAAACACTGAGTATGTTACGTTTTGGCTCACAAACATGGGCTAAAACATTCTCATGTCCAGTATGAGTGTCATACAAAATTAACGTGTTCTACTGATTCACTCTGTGTTTGTGTGAAAGCACAGGATTACTCAGTAGACTTTGACAACTGCAATTTTAATATTTCATATGATTTTTATGTAACAGTTTCAAGTCCTCAAAAACCACTTCTGTCAGTTTTGAAAGTAGGACTTTAGGCTCCACAGTGTGAAATTCTTCTGTATCCAACATTACAAGCAGCAGCATGAGTCTTGTGCAAGAGTGTGATGAACATACATTTATCAAAGCCATGTCTGTCTCCCTTCTTATTATGAACAGGTGAACTTCATCAGGCTGAAACAAGCCGGTAACAGTCATCAAGAAAAATAAGTAATCCTACTCATACAAAAAGAGGGTTTAAGGGTAAAGAGGGGAAATAAATTAGAATGAGTGGCAAATAAATTCCTCGGTTCCTGTGTTGTTTTTGGTTTCTTCATTGTTTCAGTGATTTCAGTGTACATCCTATCCTCACAATAGTTTTCTAATGGGTTTGATACATGCTTATCAACCTCAGTTGATCAATGTTTTTTTAGCTTGATTAGAGCTTGTGATATTTATTCTGACTCAGAGTTAAACATTCTGGTATCCATGTCTTCTGCTTTTCCCTTTTGCCCTTGCTCCCCCATCCATACAGTATATGATGACCCACTGTTAGTTGTTCTGCAAATAGTTAAATCTAAAAGTGCAAAAATAAATGACCACCAAGGAACTCAATCTCTTACCAACAATGTCGTTATTGTCTCTGTTCTCCAGCTCTGCGATGGGCACAAAGTCACAGTGCACCGCAGGGATGCCCTGACTATCATCACATGGCACGATGGACGAGTTGGAGTGGAGGGTCATCTCGTAGTCGTTGTTCAGTTTGCTGTACTGTTTGTTGGCCACCTTCAGCGTCGCCTTGGTGATGTAGTACACCTACAGAGAAAGAGTGGGCAATGTGTCTGCATTGTAAAATTCGACCTAATGAGACTGGTTACAAAACAACTATAGAACAATATGCCATGTTCAATTACATTTTTTAATAGTGATAAAAATATATTAATAAATCTGAAAATGTATTTTTTCACCGCTTAATTTAAAAAAGAAAATGAGGTTAGCTGACAGCTAGCTTAGCTTCATCTGACTGCATCAAAACAGTGTGAACTTTCAGGTCCAACGAGGATGTGGTGTTACAGCAGCACAATTACTTCTCTTGTTGACCAGATAATAAAACGAAGCTGAGATGGACTCGGCTAACCTGACCAATTTAAACTTGATATGCAAGGCACACTTCTTCATTTACACTTTCCAACTTTCTCTCTCTCTCTCTCTTCCTCTTGTCTTTATAGCTGTCTTTCTTTCCTCTCCTCTCCTCCTCTCTCTCTCTTTGATTTATTCCACACAGAGATAGTAGCATGAAACTAATGTGATGAGCATTCAGAGCACTCAGAGTCAGTCACACCTACTCAATGGTCTGTCAATACTCAGATCACGACAGGAAGACAGATTCATTCCTTTATTTATCTTCAGAGGGCAGGGGGCACAAATTGGATCCAGGGCTGTGTGAGGAGTCACTGCAAGTGGCTGATACCTGAGCCGGAGTGACTAGCAGATGATGACTGGGGTTAATTGACTTATTATGCTCAGTGGAACAGTCTGAGCAGAGTGAGAGCTTGAACATGTGTTCTACCTTTCTGCAGTTGAAAAGGTAAACAGAAACATGCAGAGGGCATGTTTTAGGGGGTAGACAAGAGCATGGTCTCTGCATGAATATTGAGGACCTCTGTTAAAGCTTGAAAAAGTTAAGACTACATTTTTCGCTTGCGTTGACAGTAAAATGTAGATGCTCTTTTTAATTTTACTTAAATGAGGTTTTATCAGATAAACCATCAGATAATTGAATAACTCGTACATTTCATTAGAGGCTTGTACTTAATCTGTGTCCTGCATGAATGATGATTATTTAAAATATGAATCATACCTTAATATTTATGAATATTTAAAGGATCCCAAGGAATATGCTTAAGTCCTTCCATTTAAAACCTCCTCATTTGCAGCCTTGCAGCAAAGGGCAGAGGTCAACGTCTGTGTCAACGTCAGTTATGAAAGAAGGAGCTGGAGCTGCTAGGCATCACACATCGCACAAAAAGGGCAGAAAAGCAGATGCTTGCTTACACGAGGTCTTGAACCGGGGGCAAAGGCTCTTCCAAAAAGAGTCATGTGTAATGGCTTTTGACTGAATTATGAATGAGTCTTACTCTACAAATAAAATTGATTTGTGAATATTTGAACTGATATTTTGATATCAAAATGATTCATCAATTCATCAACTAAGACAACTATAACGATCATGAGGATGTGAAATCTGTTTTCTTTGATCTTTAGAATCAGATTATGTAAACCAGAGCACACATTTTATTAAGCTATTATTACAGCTTCTGTAAAAAGGGTTTAACTTGGTCTAATTTTGATATCTCTTTTTTTTTTTTTTTTTATTACATTTTTTTGAGAAACATAAAAATCTACAAATACAAGCTAAGCTTAAAAATTGGCTGCTCTCTCCATTTTAAACAGTTAAATGGACTCTACCAGCCATGACTCCTTCATGAAGCATGCAGGCTTTCGCTCCTTCCAGTTAAAAAAAACAGCAGTCTTTTAACTGAGAGACAGCCCAACGCCCAAAGGTGTGAGACAACTGGGCTAGTTATGCTCTCAGGCTTACTGCCTAAAATGCAAACAGTAAGGGATAAGGGATCATTTTGACAATATCTCAATTATATGAGAAGACTTTTTTATCACAGTGCTGAAATACAGTATGGCAGCCCTTTGATTGACCGGCGACCAGTACAGGATGTACCCCGCCTCTTGCCCAATAACAGCTAGGTATAGATAATGGCTGGATTGGATGGATGGTCTTTCTTCATATGTCCTAATTCTGAACAGAACTGTGAGTGGACTTTCAGCCAAAGCTTAGTTTCAGCAGTCAGAGTTGCTCAAACAGAGTGGATATATTCCAAACTCTGGACAGTCCTTTTTGCAGCTGACACGATGAATCCTTGTAGAAACATTGCCAATGCAATAACACAGAGTTTTTCTAATTAAGTCATTTTTTTTTTCATGTAGGATTATTATCAGACATCTGAAGCGTTTCTCTTGCTTTGGCCAAACTTTGAAAAACATTCTAGCACAGAAGACTATTGTCGCCATTTCATACACTGTTGTTACTAAAATGATGATTGCTTTACTTCCAGTATAAAGTTTGAATGTATCAATTACTAAGCCAGAAAAGAAGCTTTACAAACACATCTGAGCACAGCTTGTAGTTCTTACAGCCATTTCTAATAAAATGTAAATAAACCATTAGACAAGTTTTCTTAAACTGTTCTCAGCAGCGAGCACACCCTCTGTCTCATGTATCCCCCCCCCCATGCAAAATATGTCTCAAACATAAACATTTCAGAAAAGTATGACTTAATAAATCCCTTCTGCAAATCCTCTAATACTTGCCTCCAGCTCATTCATTGGCCTAAAGTCCTGCAGGCAGGAGAAGATTTTGTAGAGGGGTTTATTAGGCACTACTTTAACAATGATACAATTATTTGAAGCGCCATGAGCTTTAAAAAAAAGTATACCTGAGAGTAAGTCTTATGTCTTATAGCCTTTAGATATTGTTTTACTATTGTCAAAATAAGAAATAAGCCAACCTTAAAAATGACAACCATGTTTTGGAGCTTCCTTTTAAAGAATGTGAGAAAAAACATGTCCCTGCAGCACAGATATTGTACAAAATACAAAAACGATAACATGTTTCAGTGATGGTTTCAGGGGCCTTCATGTGAGGATTGAAATGGGTGAGTAGGATATGCTAACCTTGCCTTGCTCCACGAGAGAGTAGAACTTGTCAACTTCCTTGTTGAAGGCTGTGATCTTGATTTCCCCCTGTTGACCAAAACAACAATTAGTCCTGGGATAAAAAGTGGCCATGTGTGACGTACTGTACTGACGGATATTCAAGCCTCTGCACTCCTCTACTCACACTCTCGTCCACTATATCAAAGGAAAAGAGCTTGCCCTCTCCTTTAGAGTTACTCCAGTTGCGGATGCTGGATTTGTTTGTGACTCGGGCTCTGATGGTCCACCTACAGATAAACACAGTAGATATTTGCATTAATGAATCAGCATATGTCAAGTTGACACAATGACAATATAACCCAACATGAAAAAAAGAGGTTTTGAAGGGAATCTAAACCAAGTACTTGGACATAGTTGTTCTGTTGCCAATACCTGCACCAGTTTCAGTCTAAAATGCAGTACAGGCAAGGTATCAACCCCATACAATAACCAACAAGCGGGTGGGTAAATTATTGCATGACTATGTCATGCACGTTATTTAAACCGTACTTGCATGGGACAGATACTCTGTATTAGCCAACACTCAAGTATCAGAATCCGAATTGGGGAAGGGAAAAATGATAGCAAATGTCTGAAAACTCAAAATCAAAACAATTCCAAAACAATCACTGAACAAAATGTATGTTTTGTAGATGTTTTGCCTGAACGAAGTCAATAATATACCTTCAATCATGGTCTATTTCTCCAAAACATCTGCAAATTACTATCATGTGTATGGACAGTGAAGCTTCTTTTAATTAGTAGTTCAAAAGAGAATTACAAAAAACACGCTTGACCAACACAGTTCTGTTCAACTTCACTTAAGTAATTGCATTCTAGAGGTCAGCACCAGGAAAGCTGCAGAGACACTTCAAAAAGCTTCGTCTTATGTTAATGCGCATCCCAACTTAGCTCACATCAGTCACGAATGAGAAACCCAACTGTGCAACGGAACAATTCCCAAGGAGATTGGATGAGTGTCTTTTTAGTCTTTTTAAAGTTCCATGAAAGCAAAACGCAAAATAAAACATCCGGCAACTTTCTTTTCAAAGAGTGAACTAGGTGTTGCATCTGCCAATTCCTGGATGCATTCAAAATGTGCTTCTTGTTTCTGTTTTTAACACCAGCCAGCCGAGCTCGGCAGTTTATGCAGCAGTGAGCTTTTGACTGCGTTGATAATTGTGCAGCGGAGGATATTCATACTATAACTTTGCCTGCAATTAAATCCCCTATCATGAGAGCAGCTGCTGGCCCAGAGTGAACCCCATTCCCTGCTCAGTATGGATAAGACTGCTACACCGAGGTTTATGGCAGCCAAAAGCCAATTATAGTCTGCTCTAGATGCTATGACTTAACAAAGGGAGAATGGGATGAGAGTCATGCAAACAGCAATAAAAGACCGAGTGCACATGCACACATATCATCCCTATACAACCTACTGTATGTCACACTATGTCACACACACAGGCACACAACTCCACTTTTCATTTGGCACAAACATACAGAGAAGAGCAGCTGCTGAAGTCATCTCTTTTTACTCACTGTAGGTACTCCCCAACTTCAAAGTTGGAACAGTCATCAGTTTATTACAACACCTAGAGGCACAGTTATCTTTACAGCTTGCAATTTCAAACAGGGCTACGTTATCAAAGCCCAAACACAGAGAGTATTGACGGGGTGCCTTAACTCAAATCTGGAACACTACATCTTAGTAGTGCTCCTGTCTATTTCTAGACCACTTTAAAGGTCAGAGACAGAGACTTAAACCAAATGGAATAATAAGAAGCGAAAAGGGGGGAAAAAAGCAGTAAAATTGAACCCCGAGGCAGGGGAAGAAATTGTGAAAGGGAAGGGAGGGAGGGGAAAAAAACTTGGTAGGCCAAATCCCCACCAGGCCAAATCAGAATCAAAACCTCAGCAGTCATAAAGACCCAGCAGTACCTGCCATTAAAGTGTCCCATTTCCCAGGCAGGATCGGTCATTCCATTTCCATGCAGATGGGCTGACTAACACGCACCATAGGAAATACACACAGCCACATGCATTGATACCGGGAAAAAAAAAAGTTCACACATGCATACAAACACACACCCACAGATTTCCAAACATGCCCTAAAGAGCCACTCAAAAATGGCAGCAAACAGGGAAGCAGCAACAGCTCAAAAATAGATAGTTTAGCTGATGAATAAGCAGAGAGGGAGTAAAATCATCAGTAAACGTGCACAGTACTGTACTGAGGTGCTTGAAACTTGGGATGAAATGCATGTAAGTCAGGTTCTGTGCGTTTTAGCTATTCAATACAAAATCCAAGATGTGTTTAGATTTCCTTACAGATCCTATATCAGTGTTTATGGCAGCTATTCTAGATTTAGTCAGTTATTGAGTTGCACAACAGTGTGCGGGGGGGGGGATTTCTGCTGCTACCGACTGTTCAGATTAATTTCTTGGTTACTCCCAGCTATCGTTGACTCCTTAATGCTTGTTATCGCATCAGTTTGTGTTTTCTCTGTCTCTCTAAATGTAAATGTTTTTATTAAGAGAGATCTATTTTTAGCTGGCCAACGTCTTGTATTCATCATGGAGAGACAGTCATGGATGAACATTTGTCACCATTTCTTTCGTGAATGAAATGACCACTGTACCATACATGTACTGTATGTTTAAGCAGGCACACACAGACTTTGACACACACATTTTACTTACTTGCTTTGGTACGGGTTCAGTTGAGCGATAGAAATCACTTTTGTCGAAGAACCTGGAGAAGTGCTGGCAGCCTTCATGGGGGAAAATTTCATTGGGGAAGCTTTAAAGGGTGAAGCCTTCATAGGTGAAGCCTTCATAGGGGAAGCTTTCATAGGGGAAGCCTCCATTGTAGAAACCTTCACTGATGAAGCCTTCATGGGGGAAAACTTCATAGGTGAAGTCTTCATTGGTGAAGCCTTCATGGGGGAAAACTTCATAGGTGAAGTCTTCATTGGTGAAGCATTCATGGGGGAAAACTTCATAGGTGAAGTCTTCATTGGTGAAGCATTCATGGGGGAAAACTTCATAGGTGAAGTCTTCATGGGGGAAGCATTCATGGTTGACTTTCCTGCAGAGCCTCCTCCGTGACCTGGGGAAGAAGAAAAGAATATTTAAAACCAAGTCAAATACTTAAAGGATAACTCTGAGCAACAAGATTGCACATCAATACTGCTGAAATGTATTTAAGTTATTTATCAAACGTAAAAAAGGTATCTTTCTTTAATTTTACTTAACAACAGTTAATTCAGTAATCTGCATATCTTGCAGAAATATTGCTGAGAATCAAAGAAAGGAACTGTCTTTAAAGTAGACTCTTAACAGACTCAGATGTGTAAACAGATGGGGTTCCATACAAACAGAGATTGCATATACCTCAAAGTCTTCTAAAGTTCTTAGTTAGAGTTGATATGGAGACATAACTTTACTGATACAAAACTGATAGAGCACCTAAAAGTTTGCCATCAGGAAGTAAAAACTTAAAGGCTTAATATGCGATTTTTTACACTTAAATGTAATAGAAATCAAGTATATCCTCTGAAAATAACTCTGTGAGTAATGACTGTCTACAATGGGTGTAACACCCGAGTCCAACTGTCTGTGATGCTTTCCGAGTCCTATCACTTTGTTTACATCGCCAGGACGGCGGCTGACTCCTCCCCTCGCAAAGTTGTTTAATTGAGGGACTACAGAAAAGAAAAATAACATTCTGTACTCACTGCTTAATTGAATGTCACGTAAGCATTTCTAAATCACGCTCATTTCAGGTAAATATACATGCAGTGTGAAGATATGAGCATAATAAAGATCGCTAGCATTAGCATGCTAACACAACAATGCAGCGCGAGTTGTTTTGGTTTCATGCTGGTGCTCAAGAGCGACATCTGCTGGATCAAAAAAAATCACATATAAAGCCTTTAATTGTGCCCTGAACAAATGTCTCAGCTCTATTTAAAAAAAAAAAATTATCTGATCTTGTGAGCAGCCCAAAACTCTCCCTGCAGTCCTCTTTGTGAAGTAACTAATTCACCTGTTATCACCAATGTGTGCAAATGAACATCTCCTTGACTTATCTTGAGTAAAACATATGATTAGTTATGAGAAGTTATTGGTCCAAAGCACCAGTCATAAATCAGTAAAAAACTACTCTTAACCATATAAATGCTTCATGAACATTTTATATTCAGACTGAGAATTAATGAGTTTCACCGACTACGCCTTTTTTAAAAAGAGTGATCACTGAACATTGGAATGATTGTTTCCTCAGATAATTCTAAAAATCAATAATAATAATATGCTGCATTTTTCAGGACCTCACATATAGGTAAGGTATACACTCTGAATGCTCTTCAGCCTCTCAAGGTGCCGCCCATAGGATGCATTTGTCAGACATTATGAGATGATTGCCCGATAATATTTATTAAAGTATAATATTATATTTATTATCACCTCTAAATGCCCATGGCAATGGTTGACAAGAGAAGAATATATCCTACTTTTTCAAAATTATAATCGAAATGCTGATGTGGAAGTAGCAGCAATTGTGTGTTTGTGTGAGAGAGAGAGAGAGAGAGAGAGAGAGAGAGAGAGAGTCTACACAACACCAAAACTCGGATGAAGCAAAGCTGGCCTTAAAACAACAAAGAGCCAATTGATTGGAGCAATTTATTGTAGTATCATACACCAAAGATAATCCAGAGGAATGGAAAATAAAAGTCGGAACTTCACTTGAATCTAGCCTGCAACATATTTAATGCAAGAGTGTTTAACTTGTGTGTCATTTAATCATACTGAAACATTATAGGGCCACGCATAGAGACCTTATAGAATACTACATAAAATGGCACAAATGTCTGGACCACCAAAAAGCAATAGATTATCACAACTCATTTTGAACATAAAACAGGAGTCCAGATTGTGTGAGTATTAAGAATTTTGAAGATCTGAAATTCTTAACCTGTTGTTTTAGAGGTTTTTCTGTGATTATGTAAAAATCTGCTAACGTAAGAAAAACAGGCGCTGTAGCCTTATACCTTGACGGATCTCAAGACTTTGAATTGATTTGTTCTGAGCTCAGCTGGTACTATAAGTACTGTAAAGGAAATCATCACATTTCACTGTGAACATACATGGGTGAATCATTCCTAGCATTTTTATTATTATTATTAAAAAATAATGCTGTGATGTTTTGAACAACTATGGATATAATTTACAAGATCAATCTTCCACTTACTCAACTCATACCAGAAATATAAAACTCACAAACTTAGCTTAGAAATACTATGGTAAAAAAAGAAAAGTAAAGAATAAGTTCCTTCCGTTTATAAAGCAACTGTTCGGCATTAATCACTTTTGTTTCAAGTTTCAATGCCAGAAAACTTGAAAAGTTTGGACCCATCCGCAAAATCACAAGGTGTTATCTCACTTCCCACAATACAGAAGCATCGGCCCCCCCAGCAGTGATTCAGGCCAGAGAGTTGTTTGTTGTCAGGATATATTTTCATGCAATGGATGACGCCTGGTTTTGGCATGAATGAGCCACCATATTGAGCAACAGCATTCAAGAGGAGAATTGTCAGGAATTCAAAAAAGAGATGTGATTCCATGGAGACCCCTCCCTCTGATTTAGGCTCCAACAAACACTACCCTCTGTGATCCCCTCTTTTGCGGGTATGAATGTGTGTGTGTGTGTGTGTGTGTGTGTGTGCTATGAGCAAATTCATCTGGGAAATCACAGACTGAACTGCTTTTTTTCAGGTAAGGGGTAATTAACATCAATATTCATCCACACGCTAACCGGAAGGAGTGAGAGAGGAAGCATTGCAAGACAAAAAGAGGAGATGATAGGTGTAGTTTGGGTGGAGGCAGGGAGTTAAGAGGAGAGATGGGTGCGAGAGGTTTATAAAGAATCCTCATTTTATATGATTAAGATCAGTACAGAGTCCTAATATGTATGCTGGTTACGTCTTCAACAGCTGCTGTGTGTTTGTAGAATGGTTGTGGGGAGAATAATGTAGCAGAGAAAGACGAAAAAAAGATCATAAATAAGGGAAGTGATCAAGGAAGCGAGTATGTAAAGAAAGAGAGAGAGAGAGAGATTGAGAGAGAGAAAGGAGGAGATGGGAAGAGTTGTGAAGACAGAAAACCTGCAGAGAATGGTTAGTGATGAATAATGAATTTTTTGTTAAACTGCACTTCAGCGAGGGCAAATCTCTTTTTGGAATTCAAATGGATCATCCACAAAGCAGTTTGAAGGTAGTCCATTTCAAGGAGAGCTGCTGATGAATATTTAAATGGGCACATAGAGATGCTGGTGAGTGCTGTGACATGACCTTTGACTCCACGCCTGCTGCCGAAGGACTAATTTTGGAAGATTCCTTTTTTAATATTGTGATGTATTTGCCTTTCTTTTTGACGGCATAGTAAAATATCATCTGATCACATCTTCCCACTGTGAGGATGTCAGAGTTCACTACTGCAAAGAATGCCTGGAGCAGAATGAGGGGCTTTTCATTCAGCTTATTACACATCGCCTTTGCTTTGCTCCTCTGTCCTCTGGTCACCATGACCTGGGAGTGGATCAAGGTCCTCCAGAACTTAAGGTGTTACAATCCTCAAATGTGTCCAGAAAAGACATTTTTCTCTGGACAGTAACTACCTATCACCCATTCAATTTTCATTTTGCAAAAAAAGAGCCATAAGAAATCGGTATAGAGATCCATCAAACCCACTATTCACTCAGAAAAAGTTGTTGAAATTTCATGAATTAGTTGATTACAGTATTGTGCAAATTATGTTTAAAGCTCACCAGAAAACGTTGCCAAAAAACATTCAAAACAGATTTGAAAAAAGGGAAAGCCGCTATAATTTAAAAGGAACAGAGATCTTTAATAAACCGAGATTCAGAACCAAATTGAGGGAACGTTGTTTTACTATAAAAGGAATCGGTTTATGGAACAAGCTCAACAGAGAAACTAAATAATCCAAATCAAACATGATATTTAAAAGAAAAATTAAAGCCAGTTTGTTGAAGAAATATGTGGAAATATGTCAATGAGATGTATTGTTTGTTTTGTGATGCTGTGACAAAAATGGATTGTGATATGCTTTGTACGATGTAAAATAAATTGTAAACGAGGACCTATGATGGCCAGTGGCTGTGTTTGCCTGCAGCCAATTTATTTGATTTGAATTGTTTTTGAATGAAGTATTTTGTTTTGTTTTAATTAATGCTTTGTGAAAGAGGGGCAGATATTTTAAGATGAGTCTTCTTTCTGCTACTTTTCATTCAAAATTTTAGATTTTATGTTTGTTTGTTTTCTTAACTTTATTGTTTGAATTAAATAAAATTTACAAATAAAACAAATAAATAAATATCAAAAAGAAAAAAGTCATTTTACTTACCAGGAAAGTGAGTGCATTGACTGATGTATTGTTGTAGAAACATCAGTCTTGTATTATGAATCCTTTTGCATGGTTGTAATACTTAGACTGAGAGAGCTAACAATAGAAAAACAATAACAGCACCAACAGACGCTCGTGTTGATCCAGACAATATCTACAATTACCATCCGGCTGTTGTTTGTCTCCAACAACAAGTTGAGTTAAAATCTATCAGCGCTCCCACAGAATAAAAGTGTGAATGTGGCACAGACAGACACATATATCTGTATGTTCAAAATAATTAAAATAATAAATTACCCTATAAACTAAAGACATACACGGGCTACATTAACACAAGGGAGGTCTCAGCACAATCATTTATAGGAGGTAATAATAACAGAGAACTTCTGTCTCTGCGTTTGATCATTGAAGAAGGTTCTATAAAATGCCCTCAAACAAACAAACTATCCTAAAAAATAAACCTGATGTAAAAAAAAAATACCTCCAGGTGTAGCTAAGATATGTTCATTATGGAAATCATTAAATGAGTGTTCAGTCAGAATAAGGCAAGAATCATTCCAAAATGTTTTCATTTGCTTCACCACAAAAATGTTAAAGGTCACATATTATGCAAAATAGACTTAACCATGTTTTTTTAACACTAACCTAGCCTGTCTATGAACCCCCAAATTATGAGAAAAGTCCATCCTCTCTGTCTTCTGCCTGCTCCACTTTACAGAAAATGTGTGCTCAAACAGTCTGTTTGCAGATTTTCCCTTCATGACATCACAAAGGGCAGTAACCCCTCCCCCTGTCAGGCTGGTGACACTCCCACAGCTCAGGGTCTGTTCTGCACTCTGAGTCTGCCTTCTCAATGTAATCGATTGGTAATGGTTTCAAAAGAAGCCTGAGCCACAAAAGTTTTTCTAGAGGGGCGTGGTCTTACACAGCTCATTTGCATTTAAAGCTACAGAAACAGAAACAGCCTGTTCTGAGCACCCTTACACATGTATTTGTGCTTCAAAGTTATTTCTTCCATTCTCTGACACAATAATAGATTTATGTTTCCTACTAGCAGCAGGTGGTCTCTTCAAACCATCTATTATCATAATTTCTGCATATTATACAAGAGAAACCGTGCGTCACAAGCATAGACTGTGTAATGGTGCATTCCATTTGATCTCTGAAGTCGCAAATACAGAATTGCCGGTCTGATACATCATCAGGAACACCCACCTGAAGTCGGATTTCCGACTTTAAGCAACTTCAGTAGTCTGAGTTAAACTCCAACATGGCTGCTATGTACATCAACATTAACGTTTAAGCTGTAACTATTTTGTTTATTACAGCTGAGTCCTCTTTTTGTACAATCAAATCAATAACAATGAAAGCATTGTCTTGTTATTTTCAGACTCTAACTATCACGTAGTGTGTTGTCATCATCTGGTTTTAGCTGACAAAACAAAAGGTACTCCTGGAGGCGTGCCATGTTGCTTGTCCGACTTGCAATTGGAACGTGGTTAACACAGGTGTGACTTCAATCCCAGCTCTGAGATCCCAGTTCCGAGGTAAATGTGACGCAGTATTAGTGACGTCATCCATCTGACTTTGGAAGCCAATCAATGGCGGTCACCATTTTTGAAATGCTGTCTCTATCTAACTTTCCGTCAGTCCAGTAACAAGCAAAGAGCAGAAGCTGAAGCGGGCCTCAAGTCTCCAAACAAACATCGACAACACGCCAGCCTGTCACCCAGGGCAGCCATGTGCCTTATAATGTCGACACTTGAGGTTGCAGCTTGGTCACGAGTAGGAACCATCTCGTGTAAATTACACTAGAGTAAGCAGAGATGTCCAATTTTTTGGTGGGTACAATTCCATCATCTTTATTTTCTCTTACAGGAACTGGGAGGAGCCAAGATCGGAGGAAAAGATGCAGGCAGCCTACAAATTCTTTTTTTTTAGCCCAAAACTATCAAGTACCTGGATTTGTGATTTCAGATTTTTCTATTTCAAGTGACAGAAATATTAATAAACAAGGAAACATCCCATTTCAGTAAGAGACCACATTGAGACTTAAAGCAGGGGGCTTAATGCAGGACTGTTTCATCAGCCAGACAATTAAACAGAGCAGAAGGTTCTGTGTATCTGGCAAAACCTCTGAGGTGACGTGATTCAAAGGGTACAACGCAGACAGAGTTGCACGGACTATTTAATGCAGCGCCATCATCTTTGCTGAGTCTAACGAGTTGACTTTCCCTCCCTCTCTTCCTTCATCTATGCATCACTACGAGGGGATAGAGTCCACAACACAATATTCGTGAAGCCATGAACTAGAGGAGCCATCGGCCCACACAAGCTCCCTCAGCCTCAACACGCACATACAGATACACACCTACACATGCACAAACACACAACATATACCGAGCACTCATTATCCACCCACATGCCTACATCCTCCACTGAGGAGGACTGTTGGTATGTTTCTGCCACATAACAAAATCGATGAGGATGCTGGGGGCAGTCGGCGGAATAAAACAACTGGGTGAAACAAAGGCTAAGCTAATAAAAGCAGATTCAATAAAGCTGGGGCTACTTTAGAAGTGATACATGACACCGGCTATTCTGGCAGAAAACCAACAATCATTTGGAGGTCCTTTTGTTTTAAGAATCTGGTCGCTGGTAAAACATTGAAAGATGTGAGTTATGGACTGTAACAGCCACAGTGGCCAGCGGGCAACAACATAGTTTTCAGTGCGCACAGCTGAGCAGTAAATATAATTTAAAAAAAAGGGGTCACTCTGACATATTGAATTATGGCACTTATAATAAAAGAATCTCAGAACCCCATTAATCTAGCCCACCTTTGTGGCTACCTTATAATGTCTGAAAACCCCCCCGAGCCTTATTATCCCCTTTAATCTAGTTCTTAACCCACACTCAAGACTACAGGCTTCAAACACTGAAGTTCTGGGAACATCAAAGGAATGAAAACCAGGATTTACTTTTCAGTCCATAGTGCTGCTCAAAGTGTGGTACGCTAAATGAGATTGAAAAACCAAACACCAAAGAGTTCGTTTGTCCCAAATTTTTGGCTTCAAAACAACAGTATCTAAGAGAAAAACCTTAGAGGGGGACTGCAAATCATTCATCAGCCCTCTTCAAAGGTAAAGGGCTCCCTCTGTTGGTGGGATTAGGCATGGTAAATTATTTAAATGTTTACTACAATGACTGGGCCAGAACCAAGAGATATTTTACCAGCTCCTACTAGATCATTCTGTAACAGCCAATCAAATCTTACCACAATGCAAAACACTTATTTAGATCAATAATAATTCATACAAGTTATAAATCTGTTAGTATAGCATACTAACAGATTTATAACTTTGGGAATTAAAGGATGAGCCTGAGAAGGCAGAGGGTTTGTAAAAATTAAAAGACACACAAACTGAGAAACTCCTAATCTACAAAGTCCATGATGACTTAAAATAACTATTTAACTGACTTAAATATCCGGATCTTGAAAATAAATCCTACTTTCAAACCTGGGATCCTGTTATTGTTATCGTTAATATAGTGTTAACTCCCTTCTGAGAACTAACATCATATATATACATATATATACATATACATTTTTTATTTTTTTCAGTAACAGTATGTTGCCAAAACTAAATTCTGGTTGAGCACTCTTAACATCTATCTTTAGGTATCATAATTTGGTATTAATCAGGTTAATGACTGCGATCTGCTCAGCAAATACAGTAACTAGTATCGATCGACTTAATATGACATATCAATGAAAGGAGAGCTGCAGGGCTTCGTTTGATTTGTTCAAGAAAAATGTAGTCAGACAACTCTGCCCTGCATGACATGAGGAAAGAATACACACATATTTTTGGTTCTGTAGTGAAAACACTCAAAAAAATACAACCTTAAATGTGTGTAAACTGTGTTGTATTTTATCTGCCACAGGCTGCTAAGCTGTTCATGTTTAAGCAAAGGTTTAGCTTTTTTTAACTGTTGCAATAACTAAATGTCAGCGCAAATATCAATTAGTGCTTGAGGAGAAACACACATTAGTTTGTTTATGCTTATTTTATTCAAGTTGGAAACTATCAGTATCACTGGTGCTGAAAATAAGACAACCTTAAAAACGTTTTTTCCTTGTAAATGACTGAAAAACAAGGAAGACAAGTCAATTTTTTCCTATTTAAAAACAAATTTGGAATGAAAAAGTAAACTTTCTATAATTACGCTAACATAACTGTCCAATTTTGATGTATTTGTAATGACAAAGAGGAGAATAACTTAAAAAGAGCTCATTTGCAAAATAGATACATAAACATTGTTTGAGAAGATAAAACAATATTTGGATTTATGTTTCATTGTTTTTACTAATTTATGAAAATTAATACATTCTGTGACACTTCATTAAACAGCCAAAAAAAAAAACCTTGTTAAATATTCCCTGGCTAACGCACAATTTTTGAGGAAAAAAAAATCAAAGGGAGATATTAGGGACTCACACACATCAATATGAAATCATGTAACAAAATACATAAGACATGTTACTTACTGCTGTTGTTCCTATAGGACGGTCCAGGTACTGCAGCAGGTGGGGGGGAAGCTGAGACAGAAGAGTCCGGATCCTGCTGAGGTGACGTCATACCTGCAGATTAAACAAACAACATGAGGGATTTACAGAGTCTCTTTATTACTATTTCTCACATCTTGCATGCACATTTTAAAAGAGGCATACCATCTGTATTATATGGAATGGGATTGCCAATCTTCCCTCCTACTTCCTCTGCAGAATGCAATATCTCCATGTCCACCACGACTAACACAAATCTGGGAGAGGGTAAGACGATATTATGAAGTTTACACAAACAGAAAAGAAGGGGGATGGAGGAAAGACAAGTGAGAGAAAGAATGAAAAACATACCGGCCATCTGACATTGTGTTGCGGACAGCCTTCTTCACCTTACACACGCAGTTTGGTTCCAGGAGGTTCTCCTCTGGCAGATGGTTTAACTGTGTCGCTAGCAGGAAAGCTGAACACAAAAACATATTCATCGATTCAGAAATGAACGAAGAAGAAAGCATGTGTATCCTTGGTGAACCAAACTCATGGTCCTACAGGTTTCTGGTATCCGGGAGATACTTACAAGCGTACGAGTGCCGACTGTCGCTCATCATGAGCCGGAACCTAGGCGGACCAGAGGTATTACTGACCATTCGCATTTTCTGAAAAACCAAGAAGGAGGAGAGGCTTTTACAAGCAGTGCAACAAATAGTTTGTTTTCAAATGTATCTGCAGTTCCACCTGAATCTTCACTTGGTATTGAAGCACGATGCGGAAACCTGAAAACATTTGTTAATGCGCACACAGATAAGGTAAACAAGTTTCAATTCTAATTTTCAGTGAGGTGCAAAAATGTGATCCCGGAAACGCTTTAACTATATTATAAAGATAATTTTGAATCCATTAAAACAGCTTTTAAAGGATATTTAAAGTAACATCAAATCACCAATCATAAAGTAACTCATCCAAAGATTTTGTGAATTCCTGACTGCTTTAATTAAGATACTTGATTTCAACATCACTGAGATGAAGCACCCCATCAAATGTCTCTATTTGGATTCACTGCATGGGTCCAAACCGGTTATTTTATCCATAAGCAGCTTCTGAAACTAAAGGTACTCATACTATGATAATGGACTGTGGACAGATGAAATTACTCACCAGCAGCTGCAGAACAGGATTGGACAGCTCAATGCCTTTGATCAGGGCCTAAACAATAACACACGTGTTGTTGTTATTATTATCATCTCCTCCCACTTCCCACCCTGTACATTCCCTTTACAATATGACATAGTTATACAAGTTGGAGGAATATACGTGTAGAATTCCTTTTTTTTTGACCACCACTAACAAGTGTATTACTGAAAAACAAAACCAGATGGTGTTTGATGGTTACAATTATGGATCACTATTTTTTGGGTAGGAAGCCTTGGTGAGGTGACACCCTGTCTGACCACAAAATGCAATATTCAGTTTTATTATTCGAGTTAATAAACAACCCTCTGTATTCCATCATAAAAGTACAGACGCGTCCTATCACAGTGTAAAACGATAAACAATTTGATGACGAAGGCGTCTGTGACACTAAATCGCTGTAGCCCATTTTGCTACCACCCGCAGCTAATGGAGCCACATCACCAACAAACCAGCCTTGAGAGACCGAGTCAAAACGAATTACTTTGATAAATTCCTAACGAGGCTTACTTGTATTGACCCAGGAGTAAGTTTTACAGTCATTTCTCGTGCAAAAAAAAGTGGTCGCTGAAGCCAGCACACCTCTTCGCTTTCCTTTGGTGGAGCTACGTTTTAAGTATTTGACTTATCGCGAGAACTCTACATTTTGCAGGCACAAGAAGTATGGTCAAGTGACGCGATCCACGCCGGATGTGGCACAAACAGTGGGAGATATTTATCGGCGCGAAAGCGCAACACACTCCCACAAACTTTGGTATTGTCGTATTTGAAGATATACGAGCGTAATTTATATATTAAATGTAATTGGTGAAGGTTGTTTCTTGGTTTTTCCAGGACAGTAACGGATTTATTTTGAAGGCGCTACACCGGAAGCTCTTCTGCGATTCGTGCGCGCTTTACAACAGTGTTCTCGCTGCATGGAACAGGCGTGTGTGCAACACAGAACATACTCACAAGAACTACGGTCCACATTTTGCTTCGTTTGTAGTTCATGATGGATCTTCCATGCATGCAATGGCAAGACCATGTCGCCCAGAAATGGACCGGACTCGACCCGGAGCGAAAGGAACATTTTATATCCCAGACTGAGATAGATGATGTTTTTAAATACGCCCTTACTCTGACAACGTGAGTAGCTAGCAAAAACTTCTAAAATGAAGAGTAGCACTCATTCTGCTCAGGTGATATACATACCTGTAGTTCATTTTCAAACTCAAAGTCATGAGGTCAATGAGCAATGTTTGGTGGTTGAATCATATTCATCCATTTCCTCACATGTCTCATATTGCAGAGTAATTGTTTACATTGAGCATTGTTGGCTACTTATTGAACTTTGCACAATGTGTAAACATGTTAAGATTATTACCCATCTATACCCATTCATTTTTGTTTGTATTCCATGTCAGTGGCATTCCCTCCTTCTTCTCGTTTTACCCTGTAAAAAAAAGTTTGAATCTGTTAATAATTTTGTTTTTTAAACACTTTTTACATCTGTTTTATATTCCTACCTCTGTGAAGCACTTTGTTTTGGATCAGATTATTATCTATTTGTATTATTACCACGTTTTTTTTTTTTGCACATTAACAATATCACTTTCAACCATAAAACAAACTATTCTTCTGTTGGGGAAGATTTTGAATCAGTGTATTTTTTTTTTTTAAAAGAGAAACATTCCCTGTAATATACAATTGTCTCCATTTTCTGTTTTATAGCCAAGATGATCTGGACTTTATGCAGTCAATCTCAGCAGGAAATCCTGTACTCAAGGACACAGAGCAGGCGGCCAAATGGAGGGAGAAAGGCAACTCTAGCTTCAAAACCAGAGACTACACAGCTGCTGCTCTGCACTACTCACAGGTAAGGTATCAATAATTCATGTTGTATGAACAGAAACGTAACCCTTAATCCTCTTCTTAGACCCCCATCCAATCAAATATAAAGTTTAAATCAGTGGTTCCCAACCCCTTTTCCTTGAAGGTTCCCTTGTACTTGTATCTAACAAAAGCTTAGCCCTCCCAGGACCCACACTTAAAAAACAGTGATACATCACTTGAAAAAAAATGACCATAAATAATAATAGCTTTATATATGCTATTGCCTACACACTTGTTCTTACCAAAATGCCTTTGTAAAAAACCCAGTGATGTTTTCACATGATATCATTAATATGTGCAAATGTAATTTTGACAATCTCAGGAAAAACATCTTTTACAGACTGAGATAAAATGTATTTTATGGGGCTGTCATGAAACGTGGATTCTTTTGCCAGAACAATTGTAATTGTTTAGTTCCATTCGGATATCCATGCACTTCTTCATTTCTTAACTTATAAAGTTGTTTGTTTAAGAAAGTTGCCTCTTGATTACCTTTGTTAGTTGTATCAATGCAAATCATCTAACAATTCACAGACAAGGTCTATTTTTTATTGAAGATATAATGATTTAATGATCATATATATATATATATATATATATATTAGTGGTCTGTCATGTTTTCCCTTCTGATATTGTCATAGCCATGTTCTAAAAAAAAGATCCTGTATAGGTTGGCCTCCAGAAAATGCTATCTCCCTAGACTGGTCAAAAACAGATTTTACAGTAAATATAAACAAATAATTTTTTATTTGAATGTTCTTTTTAATGGACATTAGGGTTCAACTGCATTTGTGAGCGGTAAGCCTTAAACATGGCATGCCTCCCAGTCCTGATTAATATGCATCAACATCAAACTTCTCTATCTCTGTCACGACAGGGCATATGCTTCGCTCCCCAAAGTTCGGAGCAGCTGTCTCTGTGCTATGCCAACCGCTCTGCTGCGCTCTACCATCTGCAGCACTACCAGGTGAGCTGGCTCCATCTTCAGCTATTAAATAATGAGGCAGTGTTGTTCTTGTGCTGTCATTAAAACCTGTTTAAACTGGTTCTGCTGCTTATTTGTTCACTAAAAAATGGGTCTGCAGATGATGAGCAGATTGTGTCATCATTGTGTGATCCATTTGAACAGCAGCCTCACTGCAGAGGAAATGATCATGATTTTTTAAATTATATGTACACAGTACCCTCTTTTCATTATGCTGCCTATAACAGACTGTGATCAAAGAATTAGCCAAAAACAAAAATACCTTAACCTTCTCATCTGTATCTTCACTGCACCTTCCTGGTAATATATGATTCAGAGATAGTTATTTAGCTTTGACCTCAATCAGACTTGTGGTCAGAGAGCAGCCTTCACTCTGAGGACATCCATCCATCATTGTTAAGTTTTTACAGAACCCCATGACTTATCATAGAGAGATCATTGTAGATGTGTTTCTGAAACCAGGACTCATCTCTTTATCAGGAACTAAGCATCATTTGAGCTGTAACTTTCTAATCAAAGCTTAAGACATCTGTTTTGTTATCCGATTTCTTCGAAGGTTATACCCTGAAAACTTCCACTCCTGTGGTTATTCATTTTAAAGGGCAGAGACGCTCTCATGCTATGCAAACCCGTAGGACATTTGTGAATAATGGTACGGGTGTAATCGTGAGTTTTGATGAGGCTCACACTCTTGTGTTTCATCCTATTTCAACAGGAATCACTTGAAGACATAGACAGAGCTGTGAAGAATGGTTATCCCGCTCATCTTTCACACAAACTCGAGGAGCGTCGCACACAGTGCCTCAAACACCTCTCTGTGGTTGAAAAGGCAAAAGAGGATCATCCCGGGGCTGCCGCAGAGAATCATAAAAATCCAGACAGACTAAAAAAAGCATCTGCTGGGCTCCTAAAATCTGGGATTATTCCTCAAGCTGCTGTTCACTTCAGCGAAGAGAAAGGCCGACACCTGGTGGCTGTGGAGAGAATAGCAGCAGGGGAGGAGCTCCTTAATGACAGGCCATACAGCTGCGTCCTTATACCAGGGATGGAGGCGGTGAAAGGGACGGACACACAGAGAGGAGTGTTGTTTGGGACGGAGCACAGACGTTGTCACAGGTGTTTGAATGAGACGTCATGTCCTGTGCCGTGTGAGGGCTGTAGCTACAGTCGATACTGCTCCACGTCCTGTCAGCGGAACGCCTGGGACGAACATCACCGCTGGGAGTGTCCGCTGGGAGCAGAGCTGATGGTGACGGGCGTGATGTCACAGCTGGCTCTGAGGGTGACGCTAAAGGCGGGGTTAAAAAACGTCCAGATTGCCAGGGAACCAATCAGAGACCAGCATAAAAAGCCAAAACCCAGCTGTGTAAATCAACCCAATCCCTTTTTTTCACACCACGGTGACTCTTACCTGAGTGTGTTTCACTTATTGCACCATCTAAATCGCCACAGCCCTGGTGTTCGCTTCTTGTGTGCGGTTACTGCGGCAACGCTTCATCAAAGGCTCAGAGAGGCCGGACCTCCCCCTGCATCTTGGCACCTCAGCAGACCGTCAGGGGCAAACGGCAAATCACAAGACGAGGAGAGAGAAGGGGACGACTGGAGCTCCGAGCTGTGGCTTCTGGGAAGTGCAGTTCTGAGGCACACCCTGCAGCTGAGGTGTAACGCCCAGGCTGTCTGCACGATGCAAGATACAGGTGGATCTCAGACAGATTTCACAAGTGTTATTAACTCTCTGCAATGTGAGCTCTTTTCTACAGTGAGAGGTCAAATTTTGTCTCAATGTCTTGACCATGGAAGCAGTTTATTCCCTCTTTTCATTCGACAGTTTTACAATGAAGTGCTTCAGTGAATCATTATAAAAAAAAAAGATGGATGACACAACCAACAATGACTCATAAAGCATGGATGATAGAAATACAAATAAATTCCCATTTTTCATTTTGGAAAGGCACTTGCAGATATGATTGCAGTTATGATTTTTTCTTTATTCTATTTTTCATGAACACATTTACATAAGCATGCACTTAAAAACTAGGGGTGGTTATTGTGGATGCCCCATGTACGGAGGCCATAGTCCTCCACGTAGTCCACCCGGGTCCAAATCCGACCTGTGGCTCTTTTCCGGCTCTCCTCGGTCTCTGATTCTATCCACTGTCATATCTTTAAAAAATCTTTACAAAAGGAAAATCTTTCTGTGATGGAGGTCCTTAACTAACAATATATTCCTCACCTATAAAAGGATAATAGATCAATAACCAAATAAAAAAAAATAATAAATAATCAGTCATCTTGAGTCCTCACTGTCAAAAAGTAAATCACATTTGCAGTGTTGTCAGTCAAGTTACATAGTGATTCAGTTCATTTTCATACTAAAAAAAGGAAAGAAGAAATGTAAATATTTGGGAAGCCGAAGACCTTTTTCTGTTTTGTTTTCAGATTTTTGCTGTTACCCCTTTTCTTACGGTGAAGTGATCCATTTTTCGCTTTCACGTGAATGCTCTCGAGTCTCTAAACAACCTTCTGCTTTTTCCGCTCATTGCATCTCACAGGTTCAGCAAACTCTCTGGTGCAGTCGAGCAGAGAAATCCGCATTGCTACAGCAATATTCCCAACTCTCAGTCTCCTGAATCACTCCTGCTGTCCCAACACCAGCCTGGTGTTCAGCACTGGGACCAGTACTGATCCCTCTGGACCAGATCTGTCTGCAGACTTAAGTGGAGGAGTAGCTGAACACAGAAGCACCTCAAATGGGATCGCTGCAACTGTCAGA